AGAAGTTGTTACGTTGCATAATATACGAAAAAGTGAAGGAACAGTATGTTTCAATGGATGGTCAATAGAATAGTAGTTATGTAAGAATCAAGAGATGGATGTCGAGAAAATTACAAAATTGAAAAAAACTAACAAAAAAACAAAGTGAAAAAAGTACGAAAAATAGTTCTGCTGTAAGCACTCTTATACCGATGGCCAAGGTGGCGAAAGTGGTTGTACAAATTTCTTTTGAATGTAAAGGTTAGGTTTGTAAACATGGATTGCGATGGCTAATTTTACACACGCCCTTAAGTACTTTGTATGGCATTCTCTGAAGCCACAATTATTTTGATAACTTCTCATTCAACTCATGTGATATTGTAGTGGCATTGGATGCAATTGGAAATCAACTCATATGGACAACTTACCGTCATAATCGTTATTCGATTTCATAATTTAGACCAAAACTAATACCAATATTAACGTTTCTACAATATTCATTACTTTAATATTTCTAAACACAAAATACTTACTACCTATTCGTTAAGTTATTAACCAACGGCTATTAACACGCAGCGTTTTATTATTATTATTACTGTAATCCCATTTTTTATAGCTCAAATAATCTTCACCCAAATTTTCATTTCAAGGATGTTAAGCATGAAGGCAAATATTTTAAAATTATTACATGTATTTCTCGACCAGATGCTGCCGCCTTTTTGATTTATCTTTCAGCTTATCAGTATCCGGAGGATTCTACCTATTCTTGGTAACCTCCGGCGTGCGACAATCCCATCCAATTTGGTATCCAACCAACACCACGTTGATTCTGGTGGGAGAGTAGTGTAGTGGCATTGGACCATAACCACACAATCCTCGAAGCTGAATACGAGATTACTCGGAAAATGGATATTCAATATTTAACGCGGAGAAATACCTAACGATGGGGAAGGCGCGAACAAAGATTGAATGGACTGGAGTTGATCGGATGGCATGGCTCGGCCATGCAGGCGTGGTCCATCTGAATGTTACCTTATATCTTCTATTCATATTAAATATATTGTTTCTTCTTTAGCCTAACCTTGTTCTACATCATGTATTGGTAATTGATACGATACAGTGAGTTGTTGTAGTCGATGGTGTGACTTCCATGTAAGATCTTATAGATTAGACAGTTATATCATGACAAATCTACAAATTTAAGATTAGGTCTATTATTAGAGCAGCACTAATATCATAGCAGACCATAATTTTACAATATCACCATGTGTTTCACATATCGTAAAGATTGTGCCACTTTCCTGTTAGTAGGGCCTGATGTAGTTAATAATTGTCGTAGCCTTTCTTCATAGGAGACTGACGTACATTAAATTACTGCTACTCGGTGCTTATTTTACGGTGTTTTTCCGAACTTGTTGAATCAGACCCTCAAATTAAGCATAAATTTCGATCAGCAGCTCACCTAATGCGTGTCCAGATCTGGTTGACAGGTGGCTAGATTCCTCACGCTGAAGACAAGGCTTTTATTTGGGTGGATCAGACCTGTGGATCGATCACGTCTGAACTAAAAATAATACTGTTAGGGTTGATATTGACACAGTTGTTTCGGGTGAGTCATGAGAAACCTTTACGTAAAAATTATAAGCGTCCATGTATTCACTTGGCAATCAATATATATGGGTGCTACTTTATCGGCATGAGTAGTTTATAACACTGGTAAGGAATAAAGTGTCTAGAAGCAGAAGGTTGAGAACATCGAGAAGATAAGAACGGGAACAGAAGGAAATTGTTATGAAAATGGGGAATAACGAAGTCTGAGACAATTAGTGAACATTTTGCAGATGAAGTATCGGAGCATGGTTTTTATATTTTTATCAAGTACTAAATGTAGTCGGTTGTCCTCACCTGTGTTCTCTTTTACTACAATGCAGAAGTGGTCGCACTCTGTTCCTTGTACCTACTCTTACCAGTATATTTCTCCGATAACGTCGTTTGTGTTGTACGGTTATAAAAACAGCTACAGTATATGGGTACGACGGAAGTGTAATTCACGTTACGTACTAACCGAGAGGTGTGACTTCGACGTTGGCATGCTGATCCAACTAGAGTATGCACCCAATCATTCGATACAGATAATCTACGTCAGCGATCTAAAAAACCTTACCGACTGTATGTTCGCTAGTCTGGCCAGTGTTTCAACGATAAAATACTTTCTGGCCCGTTGGTAATCGTATGGTTGCCTATGTTTGGTTCGCTCTTCTCACGCTATAAAAGCATTATTCCACAACTCTTCGTATCCCACCTCCTGGTGTTACGCTTTTGGCGTCAGGCGAACGATAATTTTACTAGTATATTGGCAGTGTGTCCTAACTCGGAAAACTCACCTTTGACGTCAGGATAAATCTACATACCTCAAAAAATTAACCATGTAATGCAGAGAGCAAGGTTAAGGTTAGTTATGGATTTTCAGGCCATAACCTCTTATCGTACCACAATTACTGTTCTCCGAAACTACTTTTTATTCTTTTACATTATTTAGACCCCTGGAGTTACCGTTTTATGACATCTTTGTAATTTGTGTTACACATGTAACTTCGGTATACTTGCATTATTCGCTTGATTTATATTTTTATTCCTTGTGGTTACCACATTGAATACTGTTTATAAGACAACTACTTTCTCGTTTTTTCAAGGTCCACTTAAGAGGCTGTCCTTTGATAATTACTTTTTTTAAAGCCCATCATGTCATCCTGTGATTCGCATGCTAACATCGTTTATTACTGGCCCTTAACATCAGTAGTTAGAGAACGAAAATGGAGTGTCTATTCAATGATTCTGTATAAGTGTGTTTTTGTACTTTAGTCTGCGGCTGATTCGAATTTTTAGCACATGAATTTGATTACTTCTCATTATCGTGTAGATATTATGATGAAGTCTATGGTAGAACAGTTTATATACATTAAAATTCTGAAGTCTTTGAACAGAGTGCGGAGAGTTTTGAAATCTTGAGTATAGTCAGGAAAGATGTTAAATGTAATGAAGTTATGCCTAATTTCCTCACACGTGTCGGAAAGAATACTTACGGTTTACTAAAAAACTGGACTTACCAGATGGGCTTATTTATCTTCCTTAAGAATAAATGCGAAACTTAATAACTTATTCAGACTCAGATTTTAGTTGGCTTCTTTACAATCCTAACAGTCATTTATGAAATGGTGTTTGCTCACCAATCTGCTAGTAGTGCAGAATTTTCGGTGACCAGTTTTGAAGCTGTTTACTGTCATGAAACTGAGTAGTGATATGGCCAGAACAGAAGTTACTTTGGTGACAAGTAAAAGCAAACGTAGCTTTAGTTCCCAGACTGATTTTTTAATCCACCAGAACACCAAAAAATAAAGGGTAACTAAAGCGTTAACAAAGTTTCATTTGTTACGTTAAATGAAGCTACTTATGCGCTTTATTCATCAGGCCGTTGAAAATGAGGGTTATCCGACCACAAATCCTTAACATTCCGCACTGCATATCGTTTTTAAAAAAGACTGGGAATATGATACTATGATTAAGTTGACCTTGGTTTATAAATACTTTTCATCACTACTCAAGCTTTCCAGAATTCCACACAATTTTAACAAGGGTCGTTATTGATTACAAAAGTATTGCATGAGCATGACATAAATTTTCTGGTACTTTTTATTCCTGCCTCTATGACACACTGGCTGTTGCTCACAAATAGATTGCCGCTCATACACTCCTATTCTAACTTAACCAACTGCCACACTGACAGACCACAGATATAATTGCAACATACATTTACACATCACATTTTGTTTCTTTACCGGGTTACTACGGGTAATATACCATACGCGGAACTGCTTAGTAATTATGTTTGTCATAGATCTATTGATCAAATCAAACGTTATGCATTTAAGAATAAGAGAAACGTCCAATTTTCACCTGTGTATACACCTCTAACGTAAATTGTCCGTGTGGGAAAATTGGGGCCTACTTTAATTGGATCAACATGCCAACGTCGAAGTCACACCTCTCGGTTAGTACGAAACGTGAATTACACTTCCGTCGTACCCATATACTGTAGCTGTTTTTATAACCGTACAACACAAACGACGTTATCGGAGAAATATACTGGTAAGAGTAGGTACAAGGAACAGAGTGCGACCACTTCTGCATGAGCCAGTCCATGATGTGCAATTAACTGGTGCCCGTTGGTTTTCCCTGACCTTAACAAAGATCGATGAATCGTTCGTCATTCAGTGACCCAAGTGTAGTATGATTTGGCTAGGGCTTAGTGCTATTTCACTGGTCCAACATGTTGATCTACATGTTCAAAGATGTGCAAGACAAGAAAAACTTGAAAACTTAGGAGACTGTAGAAATATATAAACTGGTTATATCAGAGCATTACACTTGAATTAGTGATGTTGACTTAACCTATGCGGATTTGTTCAGTAGATCATATATATATATATATATATATATATATATATATATATATATATATATATATATATATTACTCAAACTTGGGTAGCATTACACAAATCATCAGATTGGTTATATAAAACTTCCAATGGGACATCAACGATGCATAGAAACAACGTTCCTTTCCCGCAAATATTAATGGTTTTCAGAATGTTTTGGAGTTTGTCATGAATTACGTCCTACAATCTTATTCAATATTGAACATACAGTGTTTCAATGCATCTTGGGTTTGACGGCACTTCGTCTTCTCTTCGTTGTTTTGTTATCTACAAAAGTCTGGTAGTATGTTTTTTCTGAAGGTAATATCGTTGCTGGGACCAAAGTAGGAGTATTTTTGTCTGGAAACTTATTTTTGCATGTTTGAGATTATTTGGTTCAGTATTTTGCTGGTTGTAAGTGACAATGCCTTCGTGTTTTATTTCTTCTTCATTTTAAAGGGTTTTATTATTGTTGCTGTGATTCTACTTGTTATTTTCTTCCTATCAGAAACAGCCTAAGTGGCCTTTCAAATGAGACGACAAGATGGTTGAAATCGATAACGCTGATCATACCAAATTTGAGGTGGTTTCAGACCCTTCTGCTGTAAACATCCACGGAACAATCACAGGACCCCACTCGGACCTAGAAATGCGAAACAAAGTAGTATGCTGCCTCCGTGAGCTGCTGCATGTAGTTCAGTCATCTTATCATGAAGATGTCGTTGAACTAAATTTTATACAAAGTGGTTCTCTTCTTATTGAATTTTATGAATGGAGGCGAAAAAAAACACAAGAATTAATGCAAGCACTTTGCTCAGGTCATCTTGATCCAGAGGACCTTTCCTTGGTCAGTGATTACATGTCGGGTCATGTCAATAGTGATGCTATTTTTCCACCGAATGGGGCTTTTCCTCCTTGTTTGGGTTCCCAACCAGTCTCTTTGGATAATGACTCAGAGGATGACGAAGACGAAGTAAGTTATGTAGTTACACTATTTGTAAACTTTCTTTTCTTGACTCTTATTTGTGTGTTAAGTAGCCGCAGTTATTCAATTTAATTATACACTAGTAGGAGTGTATGTTACTGTACCATATATTCCAATAACAATGTTAGGACAAAAATATCGTCTTATTATCAGTCATTAGCTCGCGTTTATCTTCAGTGTCAAGACAGAGGGACGGACTATTGACTGTTGTTATTTTCAGGCACTATTAAACAACTTTTCGAATTTTTTCTCGTCAAAAGTGTGCACGTTTACATTGACAAGATTTTCGGTAGTTCTTAGAACTTAAAACAGGTGTTCATATTGAAAATGCGCTTTGTTCTGTCTATTGGTTTGTTCAGGTTACCACCAGAATAATTCTACTCTTTTCAAATAACTCGTTATTATCATTTATAGTAAGTCACAGTTTACCTTCACTGTTATTCCTCTTGTTTGTTTCTGTGGTTCAGTATTAGTTTTGGCTAATTGAAGCGACAGGTGCCTTGCGCCAGTTTCTTTTCCGCTTGTGTATGATCATATTCGTGTACACCACCAATTAACTCATTCTAATGTTCCGCATTGTTATCATACCTTTGATGAATAATTTCACAGAAAATATTAAGTATAAGTTACAACCCATCTCATTAGTTCGGTATCGACCCTGACATTAAGCTATAAACCTCAACAGCCGTTGGAGTCTCATAGTAGTCGGCTAGCGTACCAAAATGAAGCAATGGTTTAATCCGATTTGACTAAATGAGGTGGTGAAGTTTTCTAAAGTAAAGGTTATTTTTACAGAAACAAAGAGCATGGTGATTTATTTAACTTGGTATACATTCCCATGCTTAGTTAAAGATTTAGAAGGGTACGGAATTAAATTAGTAGAAAAGTTGAACACTAGTTTTGATATGATCACGATGAAAGTCACTTCATTATCTTACTAGATGAGTCGTGTTGCCTAAATAGGGGTTCTCCTCGGATTTTGAGAGCTTGCAACAGTTATATGAGCTTGGTCGACATGATCGTAGGAATAAAGATCGTGAAAGATATTGGATACAACCACTTTTACTATAACTTTTAATAAATTCTCAGTCATATTTTTCACAGCGTAATACGATCTATCTGGTACTTACTGTCTTGCAGCGCCGGCTGGACGAGAATTCCCTACTGAAATATGCAGTAGATGAAGTAAGCATTCTTAAACGTGTCCTTGAACTCAAACGGGATGGCTTATGGTCAATCGACGATTCATCTTGTGGAACAACAGAAACTGGAAGTATCGATATCTCAACTAGTATTTCTTTAGTTCCACCTTCTGAGCCAACATGTCGTACTTACAGTGATTATATGTTTGCAGAAATTAATTGGTTAGCTGAAGATTTTAAGCGTGAACGTCAATGGAAACGAGTGTCCGCTAAGAAAGTATGTTTATTTTTATATGTTCACATATAGAGCTATCCTAAAATTTCAGTGGCTTGTTATTCAATAGTATTATCTCGAATATCTTATTACTTCTTTTTACTTTTCAAGCTTGCCCTAACCGCCCTCAAATGTTGTCGAGACAAGAGTGAACGAGCGTTAAAAATAGAAAAGGAGGAGGTGGTCCGCATTCGGAAGATGTGTGCATTTATTGCTAGGATGGTCCGTGATTGGTGGCGTCAGATGGATAAGGTATATGTTACTTACAAGTTTTTCCAAGATTGACTTAAATGCAAAGTATTTTTATTTCGTTAGGTTCTCATATTATTCTGCACCAATATTCGTTCTTGCTCTCTTTAAGATGATAAAGGGGACTATGTGTATGATATGTTTTTCCTGTCAATGTTATCTAAAAGGAATCAAGACCTTAACAAAGCCTATTGGTCAATGAGAGTTATTCTTAGTACTATACATTTTTGTAGTGTCACCTTATCCAGGTTTTAACATCCCTATTCAGTTGGATAGTGCATTAGTGCATTTTTGATAGTTTGCGGGTTCAAACTCTTGAAATAACGAATATAATGCCACCATTTGTACAAAGCAACTCAAAGACGGTTAAGAATTGCATAATTTATTGCTACATCTCATTAAGTTAATATTCGACTAGTATTCTTCAACTCATTTTTACAAGTTTTTACTGAGTAAACACTCCGTTTGAAGTATTTTGGTTAGCGCTTTCCGCATATCTCTCGTTAGTGTTAATGCAGTGTTAAGTGAATAAAATTGTCTTTTGGAAGTATTATCTAAAACGAGATCTTTGTCGTTACTTTCAATTACGTGCAAGCTGTCTTATCTCTAGCAACCAGAACAGTATAACCCCCTATTTCATTCATCCCTGAGCCTTCTCATCAGGTGACTTAACTATTCCCGTGCTAACCAGTAGTCCTACGTAATATTATTTGTGTATCAAACAAGTTTTTAATAGTGACCGTCGGTTTCAAGAGCTATTTTTGCCTTTACACTTAGTCTTTATGATCTAGTGACGTGTAACCTAAAATATAATGCTTTTTCAAGTGTTGCTTCAAGTACCTCACTGTTTGTGACCTCGATACTTAATATTTTCAAACTTGTATTATATAGATTGTTCAAGCCAAACAACAAGTACGATTAACTGCTAAGCGTCAGCAAGCCATTAGTTCACATCTTGGTCAAGTACTTGAAACAACTGAGGAGTATACTCGTTGGTTGACTGAAGGAATAACCAGTTCTAAACCAAAGAAAACTACTGTTAGTAGTACTAAGTCATCTGGAGGCAACAATCAAAACGAAAATGTATCAGATAGTGGACAGCGTATTCTGAAATCTCCTGTAAGGGAACTCGACACCTCCGACGAAGAGTTCACTGTGAGTTACTTTTTGAAAACGCTTTGTCTCTCGTCTTCATTTTTAATTTTAACGTTCTGACTACTGCTAATGTAAGCCTTATTTTGCGGTATATATACTGTTAGCTTTATGAATAAATCTTTAAAGGGGTTTAAATGTAATGTGGTATAGTTTCAGAAATAGTTATGAAGCAGAATGTTGTGCAGTCTACTTTTAACTGAGGTTAGTAGTAATTTTGCGTGAGATTACTCTAAATCTCAGCAATATTTAATGGTACATTGACAAAATGAAGTGTCATTTTTGGTTATTGTCTACTTTTCTTCGTATCACTACGCTTACTTTAAGGAACATTTTAACTGCTCAGTTTAATATCTTTATATTACCTGGTGGAAAGCTAGAATCCGCTTCGACTGAAGAATTAATTAGATAATATATTCAGTCCACCTCTAAATCCTATCTATATTAAACATCAGTAACTAAGGAATAATTAAAAATAAGTAAATGCTAAACGAGTTTTATAATCATTTTTACCGATGATAACTGCGTGTTTGAAAGTCTCCTAACGAAAATTTTGGAGGTCTATTTTCGGCATATTTTACGATTTTTGAAAAGCAACGTATTTTTGAATACTTCAGTGATATATTACCTGTGTAATTGGGTTTTTCATCTTTCTGAAAAAGTACACATTATCGACTTGGTAACATGGTTAGGCATTAAAGCTTCTGTATGTGTACCACTGTATTGCCACATAACTCACCAACTATTTTGGCATGGGTTACTGCATTGACTGTTTCAATTTCCCATCTTGGTTATAATAAGATTGTTTTTGTATTTTTGTGACATAATTACCCGATTTTTTTGCCATTCGGCAAAAAACAGTAATACCCAATATGTCCTACATCTTTTCGTATTAACGGAGATTTTTGAAACGTCTCAACTTGTTTATCTTGCAGGTAGATGAAGTAGCTTTGAATGAAGTTGATGATGAAGAAACTATAGAGCAGGAAGAAAAAATCGCCATAGAGGATCAACATGGTTCTGAGACGTCTACAGCTGTGGAGCTTGAACAATTAGCAGCTGATGCCGATTGTCCATTGGAAGATCTTTTGCCTCCCGGATATCTCGAATTCATCACATCAAATTCCTCAGTGATTTCAGAAGTACAACATTCGTCAGCCAGTGAGGTTAGTGTTTCTCTCGAAGGAATGACTTTCAAACTTATTTATTTATTGGGTGAAGTCAAAATAGAAATATCTTCAAGACAGTACCTAGTTTTCTGGACTATATGTTTTTCTTCCACATGCTCGTATTTGCAATTGTTCGCCCATATTACAGACATGGATTGCTTTACAAAATCCACGAATAAACAGGTTTTATGATATTCCTTTATGCATCACGTTGTTTAGCCCTATCAGTTGTGCTAACCGGTGTTCGGGATGGTTGGAAGAAAGTTAGGGGCGGCCAAACCAAAACGTGGCATCAGTGCTTGAAGTCACTAACTTCTAGTCTGAGCCATGTTGGTAGATGCAGACTACTTGGTTGGGGTCCGCGTGACTTTCGTAACCAATGGTTGGAGACTCTTGGTGACATGGCTCAGAATCGATCACAGTGGCATCGGTGTATACACTCTCTATCTTCCCTTAAACTAAGAGATTAAAATTGCTTTATTTCTTTCTTTCTACGAACTAATTCTTTCTTCCTGTACTATATCCTTATTGCAATCTTTCTTTTATATATTACCACCTCTGAATTAACTACTTTTATGAATCCGGTGTCCATCTTGTTGTGTTAATGAGGTATGGCAACTTGGACCGATGCATAAATGTGCCTGGTCCTACGTTGTGGCTGACTGACTGACTGATTGCTATAAAATGAAACTAAGTTACAGTTGTTTTTCGCTTCGCCACTATTATTATTATTTTTTGTTCAGGTTAAATTACTAGAACACCCCAGTCTTATGTTTAAAACGGTATTCCGCCAATTGAAATCGGTCCATCAATTCAAAGGAAAAGTCGTTCACTGGATTTTTCGAACTAATTCGTTTTCTGTCCTCCTTTCTGGTTTATAAATGAGGATTACTATTTTCGGATGCATACTAACAATTTTTTACTTTGCTACTTCAACTGATGGTAGAAATTTATCTGATGAATCACTCATATTATTATTGATTTTCGCATTATCGGTTCAGTTTAATGGGTCTCGTGTGTATGTTTTATAATTTGTATTATTATCCTTACATACAGGTTAAGGATTCTGGCGAACCATACAATAAGAAAAGGATAGAAGCTGATGCAGTTTGTCAGGTCATCACATGCTCCTCTGAAATCCCTAAAGAATGTCAGTATCCAGAGAAAAGTGAAGAAACTAAGTCTGAAGCTAATGTTTCTGTTTTTGAAAAGAAAGAGTTAGATGTGCCTAAATTGGAAGTAAGTCTATCAGCGAAAGAAACAATGATCAATTTCGCTAATAAGAACGAACCCAACCTCGAAATCGCCTCAAACACGTTTGATTTAAAATCAAACTCACAGTCTCTACTAACTAAAGAGATTGAAGATACTGATAATGAAGTGGAACTAGCGAACTCAAATGTAAACGAGTGTCCATCAGTAAAAAGGGGTTGTGAAATAATACTAAAAAAGGTTATGGATCATGACGTGAATGCTAGTGTAATGGAAGCTGAAAGTAATACTGATGTAGTTCTCCTTAATAATAAAGGCGAAGAAACACAAAAGTCATCCTGTCAAACATCTGCATGTGAACCAATTATTGAGGTAATTGTTTTAGGATTAAATGTGACTTTATGTCAGCTTTCCTTGTTAATTTCATTAACTAAAACCTATCATTCTACGTGTAAATCGTACTTATTTCAAGACTAAATATATTCTCCACTTATGATGTGTGTACACAGTTTCTAGTCGTGGTCTTCTGTTTTCAAAGTTACCTGTGTCGGGTCTAAAACATTCTCGTACAATTATCATCTAATTAAGATACGTTCTTAAGCTTGTATTCATCAGTTCCACTGGCATTTATCTTTTTTTGTAACTGTTCGGATTAAGTTCATATTCACTAACCTTGTGCAGTTTAATAATTATCTCATTCTTCTATATATATCATGATTTCTTTGAAGTTGAATCATGAGGCGTTTCTTGAGTTAATTGGACTAATATGACGACTATTTCAGGACTCTTAAATGTCGTTAGACGCTGTTGTATCTTAGTTCGTTACTAACCTATAGTAATTGGTAACTACGGAACGATGGAAATTCTTTTAACAAGAAGGCGAACGAATGGGGACTTAAATAAACTGAGTGTGTCACACAACAACACTTCAGTGTTAATGCTTTACACGCTAATCTGAGATAAAGGCGGGATAGCTTTTTATTCCAAATACAAGTCAAAAATTAAAACGGAACAATTTTGCTTATATAGAAACACCCAATGACTTGAGGACAACAATTAGCAAACTGAAAATGGCAACAGCCAACTAGATAACAAAAAGGTCGTTACGGAAATTTGTATTAGAACGATGTAATCAAGGTTATCCCTTAAAAAAGAATTAATATGTAACAGCAAAAAACTAAGTAACCTAAACTCTCCCTACTAAAAGCATCTACTTTTGAAAGTAGCAGATGTTTTAGTTTGAAACGTATGTAAAGCACTAGATTTTTTGTGAGATGTAACCTCAGCATTGCTTAAGTGGAGGACCCATCTATAACTAGATTTGTGCTATTTTCGTTCACAAACTTTTGGTTTGCGTGATTACGTATATTATTTTCCTAAACAGTGAAGCCTCTATTTTATTACTTTTCTTACAGTCTACAACGAATGAAGGAAAGAACGCTTCCTCAGGAGTTGGTTTAGCTACAGTATCTTCCCCCTTTCTCCTCTCCGGTGGAAATCTTAGGGAATATCAATTAGTTGGATTGTCTTGGCTGGTCGCCACTTATGACAAGCGTTTAAATGGAATCCTCGCTGACGAAATGGGTCTAGGTAAAAACTATCCAAACGATTTCACTACTCGCCTATCTAGCTTGTGAGCGAGGAGTTTGGGGGCCTCATTTGATTGTTGTTCCAACTAGTGTTATTCTTAATTGGGAGGTGGAATTCAAGCGCTGGTGTCCGTCTTTCAAGATCCTGACTTATTTTGGTAACATGAAAGAAAGAAAATGTAAAGGAAGGTCAGTTTATGATTGCAGACATACAGTTTGCTCGTTAAATAACTTTGATAACCTCAGAAATATTCAAAGTTTATAATTTGCTTTTAGGGTTGGACGAAAACAAATGCTTTTCATGTATGTATAACATCATACAGATTAGCTATTCAAGATGCAATCGCTTTTAAACGTAAAAAGTGGAAATATCTCATTTTAGACGAGGTAATTGATTCAAATTTTGTGTAAAGTGTTAGCTTCTTTCTCTTAATCGTTTTACACTATGAAATCATGAAAATCAAAACTTTTAGTGTGAGTACTTATCAAACGATTTTATAAGTATTTGTTGCAGCAGCAAAGTTTTACAGCTGCATATGATCGTACACTTCATACTAATAGATTATTAGTTCAGTCATCTTACGGTTATTCTATTTATCAGTACTTCAAAAATTAGGTCTATTTCTGATTGCATGATGTTATGAAAAATCAGTCAAGTGACATGTAGCTAGTTATCAACACAGCCATACATTTTATGGATTTCTAAAATATGTTCTGGTTGGTTTCCCGATTTGGAGTTGGAAAGTAATAAATCTCCGAATGCCCTGGTACGGCCGAGAGCGGGGAGAGTCCGCTCTCCCTCTCGAAATACTCTCACACGGCCACGCGTATACAGCCTCTGCCAGGGAAGTCCTACTCATTGCCTTCTCGTGGCGGGGGTGTTGTTTACGAAAATGAGAGGACGAAAAGCGAATGTCCGGCGCTTTAACCGGATTCCAAACCAATGGTGCACATGGGCTCCAGTATCCTGCGGGAACGAATGGCGTATGAACCAATCGTTGGTCACCGGCTACCATGGGACTGCATCTCCTTACGATGCTCCACTGCCTTGTGGGTTAGACCTTTAGGTCAAAGGCTCGGGGAGTGGCCCCCTAAGATAACCACCTGCTTCGGTTTGGGCACCCGGGCAGTATCACAGCCCACACACAAATGATGAACTCTTTATGTCTATGGAAATTACCTTTCTTGCTTTGAAAAACAATCAATTGATTCAAATTATTATCATTACAATTATTGTCATTATTAATACTATTATTACTATTATTGTATTATTATTTCATTATTGTTATTATTATTATTATTATTATTATTTTCCACATTATTCACCCTCTTTTATACTTATACAGCGGCTCGTCTTTGGCGGAAATCCGACTGTATCTAAACGTTCTCGAGTCACTGTCCGGTTGAAAATTGTATGTTACCACCGAATACGAGGACTGAAGCAGATTTTCTGAAACCACGTGCACCATTCAAACTGGCTGCCTTCAACGTTCGCACATTTATGCAGGTCGGACAACAGATAGGGCTGGCTATGTCTTTGGAAAGTCTTAATATCGACGTGTGTTGTCTATCCGAGACCCGTATTCAAGACTCTGGCGAAGTACTACAAATTCGATCTCCATCTGTCGCTTCGAAAAGCTTGTTTTACGTGCGCTTATCCGGGGACCCTGTGGCATCTTCGTCTGGTCTTGCTGGCGTTGGTGTCGCACTAAGCGCTAGAGCTGAGGCAGCACTAGTCGATTGGATCCCCATTAACAGTCGGTTATGTGCTGTTAGATTAGAAAGTTCCATCAAAGTGAGAAGAAATCGGCGTGAGAAACGATGTCTTTTCGTCATCTCCGCCTATGCCCCGACAGATTGCAGCCCGGATGCAATCAAGGATGAGTTTTACCACCAGTTATCAGTTCTTCTCCAGAAAGTGCGTTCGACAGATATTGTAGTACTAGCCGGAGACTTGAATGCTCAGGTCGGGCGTCTAGGCACAGAAGAGAGTCGTTTAGGTGGCCGATGGGGACTCGTTGGTCGCAGGTCAGATAACGGGGACCGTCTACTGCAACTTTGCACAGACCACAACCTGTTTCTGGCTAGCACTAACTTTCGGCACAGTCATCGCCGATGTGCCACCTGGCGTCCTCCCTCTGCATCTCAAGCCTGGACTCAGATTGATCACATCGCGATCAGCTACCGCTGGCGTGGTTGTGTACAAGACTGCCGCTCCTTTTGGAGTACCTATCTGGACTCTGACCATGCCTTGGTCTGCGCCAATCTTGCCTTACTTTTCAGTGGACAACGAAGTGAACGCCATCAACGGATTGATGTTAGCAAGCTGGTTGCAACTTCTGTTGCAAGTAAGTATCGAACCGAGCTAGCCTCTAGGCTAGCTACCACTCCACCGAAAAGTATAGATGAGCATTGGTTGCAATTGCATGACGCCATGAAAATGGCGGGAACAGTCAGTTGTGGGTTTGCGAAACGTCCCGCTTTTAAGCACTGGGTTTCTTCTGGTTCCTTACAACTCATTGAAGCCCGTCGGTCTACTCCGGGTGACCGTGAGTTTGACCATAAACGAAGGATGTTACGTAAGGAAATTGGGCAAAGCTTGCGTAAGGACCGAGAAGCCTGGTGGTCGATGCGTGCTAATGAGCTGGAAGCAGCAGCTGCATCTGGTAACTACCGGAAGCTCTTCCAGCTCATCCGAGCCACTGGCAGCAAGAAGTCTGGTGTGAGTGAAACAATCTGCGAGGATGATGGGATGCCAATCACTAACATCCATCGACGTCTTGGACGATGGGCAGAATTTTTCGAAGGGCAGTTCAACTGGCCTGCTGCTCCGGCAACATCGGTCAGACTGTCCTGCCCTCCATGGCCGGTGACGACTGATCCACCAAACGAGGAGGAAGTCCGCAAGGAACTCCAACTCTTGAAGCGTTACAAATCACCTGGCCCAGATGACTTACCTCCGGCTCTTTTTAAAGATGGTGGTGACTTTTTGACTAAGGAATTGACGACGTTGTTTACAAAGGTTTGGGAACTAGAGAGTGTACCAACGTCATGGAATGAGTCGATAGTTGTCCCTATCTTTAAAAAGGGTTCACGTCGTTCCTGTAACAACTATCGGGGGATAAGTTTACTTCCGATTGCGTCCAAGCTATTGGCTTCCGTCATTCTTCGTAGGTTGTTCAAAACCCGAGAAAGATTGACTCGCGAGGAGCAGGCTGGGTTTCGTTCTGGTCGAGGATGTATTGATCATATCTTCACCCTCCGCCAAATGTTAGAACACCGCCATACTTATCAAAGGCCAACAATCGTAGTGTTTCTTGACATCAGGGCTGCCTTCGATTCGTTGGACAGGACTGTTCTCTGGGATTGTCTATTGAAGAAGGGTGTGCCTGAGAAGTTTATTAACATCCTGAAAGCCCTGTATAAAAACACCTCAGGCAGAGTGAGGGCATACAACCACCTCTCTCCATTGTTCCATTCGAGCAGTGGGGTTAGGCAGGGTTGCCCAATCTCACCATTCCTCTTCAACTTTGCCATCGATGACATTCTGGAAACAGCTCTGATGAATGTAAGTAATGGTGGTGTGGATCTGTTGCCTGGAGAAAGACTTCTCGACCTTGAGTATGCGGACGATATTGTCTTACTGTGCGATAATGCCCAAGGCATGCAATCCGCACTTAATCAGTTGGCAATCAGTGTCCGTAGGTATGGTATGTGCTTTGCACCTTCGAAGTGCAAAGTACTTCTACAAGACTGGCAGGATTCTAATCCTGTACTCACCCTGGACGGTGAGCAGATAGACGTAGTTGAGAAGTTCGTGTATCTGGGTAGCTGCATAAGTGCTGGTGGGGGTGTGAGTGATGAGATCAATGCACGAATAGTGAAAGCCAGAGCGGCTTATGCCAATCTGGGCCACCTTTGGCGCCTTCGTGATGTTAGTCTGGCTGTAAAAGGTCGGATCTACAACGCGTCGGTGAGAGCAGTTTTGCTCTATGCTTGTGAAACCTGGCCTCTCCGAGTTGAGGACGTTAGACGACTCTCTGTGTTCGATCATCGCTGTCTCCGAAGGATTGCTGACATTCAGTGGCAACACCATGTCAGTAATGCAGAGGTTCGGCATCGTGTGTTCGGGCACAGAGATGATAATCAATTGGTGTCACCATCTTGAAACACCGACTTCGGTGGCTTGGACATGTTCTCCGAATGTCGTCCCAGAGAATTCCACGTCGTGCATTATTTGCCGACTCTGGGACTGGTTGGAAGAGGCGGAGAGGTGGTCAGTGCATGACATGGTGTCGTGGCATGAAAGAAAGCTGCAAAGGACTGGCTTGTGTTGGTCCTTCACGACTCCCTGGTTGGGGTCCGAGAGATGGTGCTACACAGTGGCTAGAGACGTTATCAGATATGGCTCAGAATAGAAGCCAGTGGCGATCCTGCTGTAACCTTCTTTTACTTTCTTCATAAAAAGTGGTTGTGTCTCCCTTACCTGAAAGATTTCTTCTGATTGTACCTTTCCGTTCTCTCGTTACTACCACACTACCTTACACCAATCTCTTCGTTATTGTTCTCTTTTTCTTTTGCGCTCCTTGGTTTTTTTTTCTATTTCTCTTCGAATTCTCATTGTTTTGTGTGGCGCATATATATTGGCGCTCTCTTGTACCAACATCCATGTGTTGAAATAAATAAATAAATAATCTAATTCAGTTACTCCTGTTGCTTAGTATTCTTCGGATCCTTAACCCCAACCATTCCCTAAAATCAGAACACGGCTTGGCCAGGTACGTAGTCATATTTTAAATAAATTAATTTGAGTGGTAGTGAATCACAATGAGAAAACTTTATATTCACAATTTTATACGAGAAGGTTCTGGAGTCTTCTCCAAGTATGGTGCTAGCACTAATTAGCTGAGAAATGGCTAATCAGCGTGCTCTAACACAGTCTTGCACGGAACATTCTGAGCAGAAGTCACCTATCTGTTACCAGTGCTCGTTAGGACCCGTTTTTGGTCATACGGAGTTAACGTCAAACAGTATTTGCTTAATTTTATGATTACGATTAGCTGTTCTAAAGCAGAAAATTAGAATCATAACTAGTATCTCAGAGTGCCATACTTCAAACTTTTCATCATTAGATTTTACTTGTTGCCCGTAGTATTTTGATTAACTTTCTTAGTAATGTCAAACTATGTATTTGGTAAGGACGGTATTTTAAGACTCTGGCGGCTGTTTGTGTATAATGAATAATCTACTTCCGACAACTATTCACATCGTATACCATTTCAGTACTGTGTGCTGATGGTCTGTATGCATTTATTCCCTAACATTTATCCAGGCGGATATCCTTTGTCTACCAAAGTTTTCTCTGTTATTCACTTTACAGGTGTTCTTTTTTAACTAGGTTCATAGGTTTGCATTTGATTACTCATTCACAATTTGTTTGTGGTATTTTATTCAGGCTCAAAACATAAAAAATTTCAAATCTCAACGTTGGCAAACTCTGCTTACTTTCAATAGTCAACGGCGTTTACTCCTTACTGGTACACCATTACAAAATTCCTTAATGGAACTCTGGTCCTTGATGCATTTCTTAATGCCAAATATATTTCAATCTCATCGAGATTTTCAAGAATGGTTTGCCTCACCCATTACAGGTAAGCCATTGTATTACTGCTATATATGTGTTTGATATCCTCTTAATGAACACCATTATAGTGCGAAAGAATATACCTACTGAACAAACATAATTTTACTAAATTTCTGTTGAATGTTTAATTTCTTTCATTTTCTGCATACGACAATTTATAGACATGATCATGTTGATGGAAAATGAATATTGAATGTTTAAGTGTTATATATATTTTTTAAAAAGATGTGATTTATAAACTGGTTTTATTAAATGTTCACAAATGATATTAATAATCTGAGGCAAAGTTTGTAATCAGGGGTGATAGCATTTTAGAGTACATCATTGCTATCAAAGTGTGCACTGTATTAGGCATCAGTCTTATATGTTTACTTATTTATTTATCTAAACATAAACATTGGTACAAGAAGGCACCAGATATGCACGTGCCACACAAATCATTTGATTTAAGGTTTGGGATACTTCTCTGGTGCCCAAAGTGAAACAGGTGGTTTTCTTAGGGAGCCACACCCGAAGCCGTCGACCTAGAGGTTTGATCCACAAGGCAGTGGAGCAACGTCAGGAGATACAGTCCTATGGTAGCCGGTGACCAATAATTGGTTCATACGCCGTTTGTTCCTGTAAGATACTGGGGCCCATGTACACCATTGGTTTGGGATCAGGGTTTTCCAATTCCCCTAGGTGAACTCTCCGTGCCCACTATCCCGGTTAAAGTGCCGGACATTCGTTTTTCGTCCTCTCAATTTCGTGAAGGACACCCCCGCCACGAGAAGGCAGTGAGTAGGGCTTCACTGGCAGTGGCTGTATACGCGTGGTCATGGAAGAGAATTTCGAAAGGGGGAGCTGACTCTCCACGCTCTTGGCCATACCAGGGCATTTGCGGGCAGTCTTGTATGCACACAGATGACTAATAAGTACGTTGAGAAAGTGGCATAGCTACAATGTAGTGAGCGTTTTGGAATGATATAGTATAGAACTGGTATTTTCTTTGTAGGAGATTTTAGGTGTCATGTTTGTGAATGAATTGCATGATGAAGAAGGCGATTCCAGTCCCATCATAGGTTACTTATAATGATCTGCAGCCAGAAAAAAAAATAAAAGCAGAAAACATGGAACAACAGCAAAAAGTTGATAGGTTTATCGCCATAGATGTGCTTGAGTGTTTCGTAACGTACATATTTAGATAGATTTTATTTAAAATAATCAGTGTATATATCCTGAAAATAACAAAGTATAGTGTGGTTCGAGATTAATGACGTATAACATGAAGAACTCACAATATAAGTTTTAAAAATGTAAAAGCAAAAAATATCAACATGAATGTATGTTCGATAAGTGTGCTTATTAGCAACAGTATTCATACATTTAAAACGGGTATAATTTCACTAGTGGAGTGGGATAAAAGACACTATGAGAAGCAAGGAAATAACTGATGTCTTACATGCAGTAATATCTTTCCTGTTCATGCCTTATAATAAACCATATAACTAATCTTGTGAATCGTTCAATAATCCGTCTCAACCTTCGCTTGTTGTCTACATAGGTTTGTTTTTTTGTTTCATATAGGGATGATTGAAGGGAATACTGACCATAATGAATTACTGGTTCAAAGGCTACATAAAGTCCTTCGTCCTTTTTTGTTACGGCGTCTCAAAGCGGATGTTGAGCGTCAACTTCCAAAGAAGTACGAACATGTTATCATGTGTAGATTATCAAGAAGACAACGGTTTTTATATGATGATTTTATGTCACTTGGAAGGTAATCTGTTTTATAAATTGCTTTTTCAGTCTCTCGATCGTATCTTTTAAACATGTAATTAGGTTGTGGGCATTGAGTTTTAAAGTAATCTTATCTTTATTACATTTCTCTATTTCTGTAGTGTATTCGATGTTAGTGGGTGTTTGATCCATATTTACAGATAACCGTTTGATTAAATCTGAATTTAAGTGTATTTGTTACGATAAATATTTCAGGTTGTAGTTACTTATGTTAGCTTCGTACTTAATAAGGCCATTGTTATTTTCTCAACTTCGGAACTTCTTGGATTAGTGGTAGTAACACAGGGATTACTAGACTAATTTTACACAAAATATTGTCTTTTAGTCGCTTCGCGTGTCAGAATTCACCAATGGTATGCTTAAGTAAGATTTGCTTTTTCTTTATTATTGAGTACTCATCATATTGTCTGTTCCGCTTTGAAATAAATTGAGGCTAAATATTTTTTATGAATGTGTTAGTGCCTTCCTTTTCTTAAGCTCTACACAATTTTTATTGACATGTTACGAGGTATCTAAACCACTGCGAACGTCGTGATATTCGTATAATTATTCAAAACACTTCATGGTGCGGCTTTGAAATAGCAAGAAAAAAGTTAACTCTTAGTTAATTATCTATTTGTATAACTTTTTTAAATTGTGTTTTTATTCACTTGAGGTTTAAAACCTTTTCGTTGCTTATTCTATAGCACTCAGGAAACCTTAAAATCTGGCCAGTTCCTATCAGTCATGAACATACTTATGCAGCTACGAAAGGTTTGCAATCATCCAAATCTGTTTGAAACTAGGCCAATCATTTCTCCGTTTCGGGTAGCCGATTCATATTTAACATATTCTCTTCCAAGATTGCTGGTATCTATGAGTCACCCCTTCTTAGTATTTGCCCCGAGCTCGAATGGTAGTCGAAGTGTTTTCGGATCAGCTTCAGCATTTTCTGATCCTGATTTAGATTGGTTGGATACCGCGGGATTGGTTGCTCGTCTCTTGGGACAAACGATGAATTTAGTCGAAATGGCTCGGGATTTACCAGGATTTGTCGCAAGACGATGTCATCAGTTGTGTGCGCGAGAAAACTTGATTACCATTATTGACTCTAGTGACGTAATCGATGATGGTGAGTCGTATGTGTTGTTTGATGCTTTTTATTCCTTAATGTATAACTTATGCAAGATTAGTGCTCTTTTGGAAATTAATGGGCATTTTGTTTGCAAATTATTTATCACCTTGATTTTTATATCAAATCATCCACAATGATCTAAAATCACGAGGTATCGGATGTTTTCGCCATTATTTTTACTGTTGATGTGAGAAAATACGTTATTTTGGGTCTGCATGGTTTGTTTCAAGAGACTATAGTAGGATTTAAACTTTGAGTAAAGCTAACTAGACTTAAAAATTCTGACTTCGAAATGGTAACTTCCGTAGAAGACTTTTAAAATCATTCTATATTTGTTTGATGATTCTATTTTAGTATGATCTTGTCACATTGGTATGTGAGTACTCAGTTAACCAATCAATCTCACAGATTCATACCATAGTTTCTTTGCACATAGTATTATTTGTAGTCCAAAGATTGTGTGGCACAGCGTAGTAAATCAGTATTCTCGTGGTTTAATATTTTCCATTATGCTTGTATTTTCTAATACCAACCACTGGGAACGTACCTCGATATTGATTGCTTACTATCATCCACAAGTCTTCCACGTTTTGGCTTCATTTTAGGAGAGGTGGCTTAGTACTTAAGACGTTTGACTTTCCGATACGAATTTCATAGTTCAAACTCCATCCCACTTCAGTTAGGACGACGTGGCAGTATCACTAGACCTTACACTTGGAGTGGAGCTCGTACCCATGTACCTAGTGAACAAGTTAATCTAATTTATTTCTAGTACTTTAGTTATTGTATCAACAAAGCTATCTTCTCCAAACTAGTGTCTATATTAATTTTTCAGCAGTTACTGAAATAATCATGAACTTATAACATGATCATTGGTCACTATTCGACTTTCTCATTCTGTGAAGGCAAAATCATTTCGAATATTGTGTAATCAAAGACCATAGATAATAGAGGCTATATACTGTTTCTCGCCATTTCATTATTCTTTGTGCATTAATATCCTGATGTATACAGACTTACAAACCTGAAAGAACTAGTGGTTTCATGTTCTATTGCAACCCTTCTTATTATGGTATTGAAACGTTTCATTCATTCCTAAGTATTCTGTCTACAGATACAATGTAAAAGTAAAATGGTTTTCGTACACATCATACCTCTTAGAAATAATCTCATGTAGACAAGTGGATTTCATACGTATTCTTAATCTGTAGAATTAGCATTCCTTGCATAATTTAATTCATAGCAGTAATGTAAGTTATATGCAGGCGACTAGTTCATCAGTGTCAGCTTGCATCAGCACCTGAATTAATGAAGGGGTGGGAAGTAGTGGAGCCTATCTACCACTTTCCCTATATAGAGAGTCTCATCAGTCCTGATCGTCTAGTGTCTTACGAAATCTCATCATAATTTCTGAAAGCTCGATTGGCTTTTGCCAACTTACGTCACTTGTGGCGTTGAAGAGATATCCAAGTTTACTGCTCACTAGTTCATTCCGTCCTATTTTTTGGGTGTGAAACATGGCCTTTAAGGATAAGGAGTATTTATAGGTTATACGAAGCATTGTTCGTATATTTTGAAACCACCGAATAGGTAGTGCTTGGGTTAGGGATAGAGTATTCGGTAAAGATAGAAAATCGATGTATGAGGTAGTAAATCCTCATTAATTGAGGTAGTTGGGACATGTAGAATGTATGCCCAACCATTGCCTACCTACATTGCATCAGTCCATGAGATCATTGACAGTTGAACTTAGCCATTGTAAAAGGTGTAAACTACCTGGTTGGGGTTCGTGTGATTATCGTAATTAATGGTTAGAGAATTTGAATGACATTGCTTAAAATCATTTGCAGCGATGAAGACCCATACAATTTTTATCTCCCCTTGGATTGTAATTTTCTGAACTCATAATTTCCTCCATTTATTTATATGTTCTTGAATCGTATATTCGATACCTAATCTTTTCTATTTCCACTGGTAGTGTTATTACGTCTACTATTCTGAGATTGAGCCCGAAGATTTTATCTCCCTGTGCGAGTGGGGTATGACAATTCGGACCGATGTACTTATGTTTCAAGTTATACTTTGCGTTAGACTAACTGATTGACCAGTTCATCGTCGTTATGTGTTTGTTTATAAATCATATAAAATGAGTTTAAGGAAATCGCTACACGAGATTTCCATACAGTATCAAAAATCTTAGTATATATTGACACTGAAAGTTTGTCATTTTTCTCTTTTTAAATTGAAGATTGTTACAGTTACTATCTGATAAACAGCACCTAACTATAATACGAAGTTGTAATCTATATAATTTAGTTAGTCTCCTCTCTAGTGGTATCATAAAATCGCCTCCCTACTTTAAAGAATAACGTTCTCGTCGACTGAATTTTCAGGCACTGATCTCTTACCAAGAGGTCCACTTGCCGATTTAGAATACGCAGATGACATAGCCATGTTTGGTGAAGACGCTGATAAAATGCAGTCTTTTTGTAGCACTGAGCAACAATGCCAGAATGTTTGGGATACGCTTCTCCCCTTCTAAATGCAAGTTGTTACTTCAGGAATAATCTCCGTCAACACCCGAATTAAGGATTGGGAGTGAAGTAGTCGAACGCATCGACAACTTCACTTATCTTGGAAGTCTAATCAGCCCAAATTGGTTGGTGTCTGACGAAATCTGTGCACGAATTCAAGAAGCTCGTTTGGCTTTTGCCAACTCACCTCACCTATGGCGAAGGCGAGATATCTGTTTATCAATTAAGGAACGAGTATACTGCTCAGCAGTTCGTTCTGTTCTACTTTAAGACTGTGGCCATTAAGAGTAGAAGGTGCTGGTAAGCTACTAGTATCTGACCACAGGTGCCTTAGAAATATTGCTGGGATCACCGAGTAAGTATTAGTGAGGTTAGACGTGTAGGGTATTAGAGAATGATGGTAAACCAGTTGATGAGGTTGTAAATCTTCGTCAACTGAGATGGTTGGGCCACGTGTTACGCATGCCTGAACACCAACCACCACGGCGTGCAATGCTGAATAGTGTTGGAGACGTATGGAAATTAGGGGCGGCCGAACCGATGCATATATCTGCCTAGTCCTACTATGTAGCTGACTAACTGTCTTTACAGAATGTTTATAATGATCCTGAAACCAGTTCTTTGAAACCGTGAAACGTTCACATATTAATATTACTGTTGTAAACAATGAATGTCATGGCATTGGCCATTAGTTTTGGCTTAGATTTGATGTGTGTCCCTTGCATTCGAAATATATTTCATAGATAATTCAAATTTCTTTATTCTTTCGAGGCAAATCTTACATTAAAGTGCTGTTTTAAAACATATCGAATTTCCACCTGAATCTTTAACATACATATAATATCTCGCTGCTCCTAATGTTAATATGTGTTGTTTATCTTGTAGTCACTTCTCAGAGAATACAGTTTAACGAACTGAAGAAATCCCGAAAATCTCAAGGAGAATATCTGAACAGATCCCCCTTATTTGACTCAAAGTGTTTTGTGTATTGTAAGTATCCGTTGCCGTTGTATTAAATCACCATTGAGTGAATAGTAATATTTGCTTCACAATTTTATTCGGCCATATCACTTTTACCAAGCTTTCATATGGCTACTCATTAGTTGCAAGTAATCCGTTACTCTTAACTGACACCTTTATAGTTTATCAGACCTCATGGAATTAGTTGAGCTCATTCAATACGATTTTTATTCGAAAATACTAATTACTTTCTTCTAAACCGATGGGCGTTGGCGATGGCATCTTTAGGTGCTAGATTACCATATATTTTATGTAAACCTTTGTGTTTGCTTTTGTTTCTTTATTTTTGAAACATATCTTTTATCCTAACTATTTTTGTTCCCAATTCCTCCAAGTTATGTTTATATCATAGAGTATACTACGTTGTGTAACCTACTATCAATTTGTCAAATTTCAGTAATGCTCACGGAGCTTTAGTAGGCCAAATGCTTATGAATCAACGACCCCAACTCTTTGAATCTCGATATTTTGCAAACCTGTGCAATGGCACTGTTGGGATATACATTACACTTGCATTAATTAAATCTGGATATCTCCACTTACCAACTTGTTTTATATATCACTGTATTCCCCTTGTTACTCTCATTTATGTTTTCATATCTCTGGTTCATTAAAATTACACATAACCTCTGCCTTTTTTTGTTATATTTGTGGTCTTTTGTTATTAGCTGCTTTAAACTTTTACAAATGACTGAGACATTGATAGATTTTATTTATATTACCTAACTTTTGGTAATTGTGAATAGTGCTTGTGTTAATTCTATTGTCTGACTTGACTTCGTCAGATCTGAGTATCTTCCGGCCTTATTGTACTTCCAGTTTATTTCTTAGTAGGGACGTTGTTGTATATTGTTCTTTTATTATTCATGTTATACCTGTATTTACAGCATTTTCGTTTTGGTTATCAATAAAACAATTGTTTCCACTTTCGAAAAATGCTAACACGGGAATATTTCTGATATGCCGACTTTATCAACTACGATGACAACATAACTATTATTTGCAAAACAGATTAGCACTACTATTTTTTTACATAACCAAGCCATGGGTCGCTAAAGACATATTTTGATGTCCCTCGTAAAATTCTTTGCACTATCAATTCAATAAAATTGACATAGAATCTAAAATTTTAAATGAATGAGGTACATCAATTTTAATTACGTACACTTGTCGATGAAGTTTTCCCAGTTAGAAGTAACTACTTTATATTATTGTGGTAACGAAAACAAACAAACTTTGTGACATTTTTATTTAAGCATTCAACTTTGCATCAAGATTTTTTCTATATTTTTCGGTTACCGAAACTTGATTTTTTTTCAATGTTTTATTTAGCTGATGGATACTATCCTTCGCTTTCGTCCCCCACCAATCTCGAACCCACTATAGTTAAAGGTATAATTTTTTTACTACATTTATCCAATATCCATCCAATAATTTTATCTTATTGGAATTAGTATGTTATATTTTTGCTTGGAAAGGTTGTATTGTTTGTTCCAACTAACAGAAATTGGTTTGGAGTATATCTAAATAATTTGAGTTGTTATGTGTTCATTCAATGAATGTTTCCATGATAGGAATGAAAATTACTGAAACAGATAATAAGAAGGCCCAAATGATGTTATAATCTATAGATCGTATTGTACACAAAAGAATTTTATATAGTGCAAAAGTTTACACCCATTCAGTTGTCATATTCTTTTTTGATCATGATAACCAAGCAAATAAATTATCGTTTTTTTCTTTTTTTTTTACTTGTTTGAGGTTTACTTTGTGTTAATTTTTACATCTGATACTAAATTTTGTTTTACAGGTTATTCGTCTTTCTTTTATCCCTTTATGCATAGTTGACTTCCCGAGAAATACTTGGGATATTGGTATGCCAAAGTCCTGCTTGCGTCGTCGTTTTGTTGAACGATGTAACAGATTGCTGTTGATGAGTAGAATTAATGAACGCCGTTGTGATTTAACGTTCAAATCACATTCAAATGATATTGGAACGTATTGGGACCATGGAACCCACATTGGACCAGATTTGATTTTTCTCATTAATCGTTTGATGCTTGAAAAACCTGTCGAAAATCTACAGGATGTCCACATATATCCTGGTCTCATTAATGGCGCAGTTTACTGTCAACAAAGCCTGCATACCTGGCCAGTAAAGTGCTCTCCTCTAAGCAGTATTATAAGTTCTACGGTTGACCAAATATCTTGTTTTGAAGGTAATATACATCAAATGAGTTCACTCAGTATGGAATCCATTAGCTCTAGACGTACGTCCTGGCTTCGATCATCTCGTTCTCTTCGAGAGATGTTACACAGCCCCGGTGACTACTTAAATGACTTACGCGAAATTCTCAAAAGGTAAGATTTCTGAATGTCTTTGCTTCTTAGTTCATGTTGATTGCGATCCCGACATTTCATACTTTTGCGTTTGCACACAAAGACTAAATTCGGATGGACATCAGGATTCATGTTCTTATCATCATTAGACTTTATTGTTTTTAAGTCACGCACGTAACCGCAACCCAGTAAATACTGTAATCCACTAGGTCCCAATTTTTTATACTCATATTAAAGATAAAAGGATTCCTGATAAAAACTGAACTGCTGTTCCAACTCTGCAAACTCAAATGACCATCGTGATCATAAGCTACAGTTAATGGAAATTTAGTTAGAAAGATAATAATGATTTAATCTTATTATCGTTTATTTCATCACATTGGCTTCTTATTAACTTTACGATAACAAAATACATACAATTATTTGTTCAGTTTTACAAATATTTATTCATGATAATACAATGGATAGTTTATATGTTGTTACTCTTTGTTAAATATTTTGTAACCTTCCATTAACCGTAATATTTAGATTATATTTCTCGCTACACTTTTTGTGAACTCCGTTACTGAACAACCCTCTTTTCTATAATGTCAAAATCCCTATATTCACTTATCACAGGTTATAATTGAAGCACTATACACTAACTTTTCATGGTCGTTGGGACTATTTAGTGCCAGAATACTTAGGCTAAAATAATGGTAATTATCGCGATCATAAACCTGCATTGACAGGTTGATAAAATAGTTAGTGTTTAGTGCAAACAGCTGGCGAATTACAAAAGATAAACCTATTATCTACCACTACAAAATTCTATTCTCAGTTATGTATTTCAAGTGGTTTTGTACGTTTGTGTTTTTGTTAGTCTAGTGTATTTGCATATGTTATTTGTATACGGATAAGCGGCTATGGTTTCTCAATGTTAATAGCGTATTTGATGTTATGTTTTGATTTTGTCGAAAAGGTAAATAACTTTGTGATATGTAACATCGGAATACGTTAAATCTACATTAAATTCTGTTAAATTGTTGTTTTATGTATCGAATAGTTAGCCCTTTGATTTCTTTCCAAAAGGTTCGTTTTTGTAGTGCCTGCTGTTATATCATCGGGTTTTACACTTCAAGTTTCCAACCATGCTCTGGAGCATCAACTTATCAATCAAGAAATTCGGATTCGAGATATGCTTCTATCCTCAGGGTGTTTACATCCTTCGTTTTTTCCTATGAACTCATCTGAATATCATGAGCGAAAAACCTTGAACCGTTTAACAACTTGGAGTCCTCAGATGTGGTTGATGCCATCAAAGTTACATCAGTTGGTTATGTCCTGTCGTATTCAATTCCCTGATCCACGTCTGATACAATACGACTGTGGTGAGTTTGTAATATTTAGTCTAAGTTCATTGCATACCAGGCTTCTTAACAGAGTTATTTCAAAAACTACTTCATATAATTTGTTATTAACTTAATTTTAAGCAACTGGATAGTGAGTTTAGTGTTAAGATATAAAGTGTAACGAAGTACGTAATTCGGTATTCGCAAAGTAAGTTATATTACTCATTATTACGTATTTGGAGCATATTAAATCATTTAACTTCCGTTTATATACTACTCGTACATGAAGTAAATACATCCTTCAAATTAGTTATCGGTAGTTTCAATGGCAAACCAATTAAACTCTGCCTTGGGAGTTGAAGAATCTTCATTCAGAGGAATTATGACGCCTCATGTTGAAAGCCGATATTCTTCGTAACCCACGAGGCCGTTCTCCCTTTCTAATAATCAGAGCCACAATTAACATAGGTACATGGAATGTCCGGATAATGTGGGAGACTGGGAGGACCAGTCAAATAACCGTGGAAATGAGGAGATACAACTTGGCGGTGCTCGTAATAAGTGAAACTCACTGGGCACAAGTTGGACAGAAAAGATCAGCTACGGAAGAGGTGCTGCCGTGCTCTCACAAAGAGAATGTTTTGCGCACACAACTAGAGGCACTGATCCTCTCCAGAGAAGCATACAGCCTCTGCCAGGGAAGTCCTACTCATTGCCTTCTCGTGGCGGGGGTGTTGTCTACGAAAATGAGAGGACGAAAAGCGAATGTCCGGCGCTTTAACCGGATTCCAAATCAATGGTGCACATGGGCTCCAGTATCCTGCGGGAACGAATGGCGTATGAACCAATCGTTGGTCACCGGCTACCATGGGACTGCATCTCCTTACGATGCTCCACTGCCTTGTGGGTTAGACCTTTAGGTCAAAGGCTCGGGGAGTGGCCCCCTAAGATAACCACCTGCTTCGGTTTGGGCACCCGGGCAGTATCACAGCCCACACACAAATTGATGAACTCTTTATGCCTATGGAAATTACCTTTCTCGCTTTGAAAAACAAACAATTGATTCAGATTATTATCATTACAATTATTGTCATTATTAATACTATATATTATTATTACTATTATTATTGTCATTATTGTTATTATTATCATTATTATTATTATTTTCCACATTATTCACCCTCTTTTATACTTATACAGCGGCTCGTCTTTGGCGGAAATCCGACTGTATCTATACGTTCTCGAGTCACTGTCCGGTTGAAAATTGTATGTTACCACCGAATACGAGGACTGAAGCAGATTTTCTGAAACCACGTGCACCATTCAAACTGGCTGCCTTCAACGTTCGCACATTTATGCAGGTCGGACAACAGATAGGGCTGGCTATGTCTTTGGAAAGTCTTAATATCGACGTGTGTTGTCTATCCGAGACCCGTATTCAAGACTCTGGCGAAGTACTACAAATTCGATCTCCATCTGTCGCTTCGAAAAGCTTGTTTTACGTGCGCTTATCCGGGGACCCTGTGGCATCTTCGTCTGGTCTTGCTGGCGTTGGTGTCGCACTAAGCGCTAGAGCTGAGGCAGCACTAGTCGATTGGATCCCCATTAACAGTCGGTTATGTGCTGTTAGATTAGAAAGTTCCATCAAAGTGAGAAGAAATCGGCGTGAGAAACGATGTCTTTTCGTCATCTCCGCCTATGCCCCGACAGATTGCAGCCCGGATGCAATCAAGGATGAGTTTTACCACCAGTTATCAGTTCTTCTCCAGAAAGTGCGTTCGACAGATATTGTAGTACTAGCCGGAGACTTGAATGCTCAGGTCGGGCGTCTAGGCACAGAAGAGAGTCGTTTAGGTGGCCGATGGGGACTCGTTGGTCGCAGGTCAGATAACGGGGACCGTCTACTGCAACTTTGCACAGACCACAACCTGTTTCTGGCTAGCACTAACTTTCGGCACAGTCATCGCCGATGTGCCACCTGGCGTCCTCCCTCTGCATCTCAAGCCTGGACTCAGATTGATCACATCGCGATCAGCTACCGCTGGCGTGGTTGTGTACAAGACTGCCGCTCCTTTTGGAGTACCTATCTGGACTCTGACCATGCCTTGGTCTGCGCCAATCTTGCCTTACTTTTCAGTGGACAACGAAGTGAACGCCATCAACGGATTGATGTTAGCAAGCTGGTTGCAACTTCTGTTGCAAGTAAGTATCGAACCGAGCTAGCCTCTAGGCTAGCTACCACTCCACCGAAAAGTATAGATGAGCATTGGTTGCAATTGCATGACGCCATGAAAATGGCGGGAACAGTCAGTTGTGGGTTTGCGAAACGTCCCGCTTTTAAGCACTGGGTTTCTTCTGGTTCCTTACAACTCATTGAAGCCCGTCGGTCTACTCCGGGTGACCGTGAGTTTGACCATAAACGAAGGATGTTACGTAAGGAGATTGGGCAAAGCTTGCGTAAGGACCGAGAAGCCTGGTGGTCGATGCGTGCTAATGAGCTGGAAGCAGCAGCTGCATCTGGTAACTACCGGAAGCTCTTCCAGCTCATCCGAGCTGGACGTTGTTTACAAAGGTTTGGGAACTAGAGTGTGTACCAACGTCATGGAATGAGTCGATAGTTGTCCCTATCTTTAAAAAGGGTTCACGTCGTTCTTGTAACAACTATCGGGGGATAAGTTTACTTCCGATTGCGTCCAAGCTATTGGCTTCCGTCATTCTTCGTAGGTTGTTCAAAACCCGAGAAAGATTGACTCGCGAGGAGCAGGCTGGGTTTCGTTCTGGTCGAGGATGTATTGATCATATCTTCACCCTCCGCCAAATGTTAGAACACCGCCATACTTATCAAAGGCCAACAATCGTAGTGTTTCTTGACATCAGGGCTGCCTTCGATTCGTTGGACAGGACTGTTCTCTGGGATTGTCTATTGAAGAAGGGTGTGCCTGAGAAGTTTATTAACATCCTGAAAGCCCTGTATAAAAACACCTCAGGCAGAGTGAGGGCATACAACCACCTCTCTCCATTGTTCCATTCGAGCAGTGGGGTTAGGCAGGGTTGCCCAATCTCACCATTCCTCTTCAACTTTGCCATCGATGACATTCTGGAAACAGCTCTGATGAATGTAAGTAATGGTGGTGTGGATCTGTTGCCTGGAGAAAGACTTCTCGACCTTGAGTATGCGGACGATATTGTCTTACTGTGCGATAATGCCCAAGGCATGCAATCCGCACTTAATCAGTTGGCAATCAGTGTCCGTAGGTATGGTATGTGCTTTGCACCTTCGAAGTGCAAAGTACTTCTACAAGACTGGCAGGATTCTAATCCTGTACTCACCCTGGACGGTGAGCAGATAGACGTAGTTGAGAAGTTCGTGTATCTGGGTAGCTGCATAAGTGCTGGTGGGGGTGTGAGTGATGAGATCAATGCACGAATAGTGAAAGCCAGAGCGGCTTATGCCAATCTGGGCCACCTTTGGCGCCTTCGTGATGTTAGTCTGGCTGTAAAAGGTCGGATCTACAACGCGTCGGTGAGAGCAGTTTTGCTCTATGCTTGTGAAACCTGGCCTCTCCGAGTTGAGGACGTTAGACGACTCTCTGTGTTCGATCATCGCTGTCTCCGAAGGATTGCTGACATTCAGTGGCAACACCATGTCAGTAATGCAGAGGTTCGGCATCGTGTGTTCGGGCACAGAGATGATAATGCAATTGGTGTCACCATCTTGAAACACCGACTTCGGTGGCTTGGACATGTTCTCCGAATGTCGTCCCAGAGAATTCCACGTCGTGCATTATTTGCCGACTCTGGGACTGGTTGGAAGAGGCGGAGAGGTGGTCAGTGCATGACATGGTGTCGTGGCATGAAAGAAAGCTGCAAAGGACTGGCTTGTGTTGGTCCTTCACGACTCCCTGGTTGGGGTCCGAGAGATGGTGCTACACAGTGGCTAGAGACGTTATCAGATATGGCTCAGAATAGAAGCCAGTGGCGATCCTGCTGTAACCTTCTTTTACTTTCTTTCTAAAAAGTGGTTGTGTCTCCTTTACCTGAAAGATTTCTTCTGATTGTACCTTTTCGTTCCGTCGTTACTACCACACTACCTTACCCCAATCTCTTCGTCATTGTTCTCTTTTTCTTTTGCGTTCCCTAGTTTTTTTTTTCTTTTTCTATTTCTCTTCGAATTTTCATTGTTTTGTGTGGCGCATATATATTGGCGCTCTCTTGTACCAATATTTATGTGTTCAAATAAATAAATAAATAAATAAATAAATAAGCATGAAGATCACTCATAAGACGGGAATCTCATGAATCCAGGGTTACCAAGTCATCTTTCAAAATCGAGGGGGGATTACAATGAATTTCATTCGGTACTACGAACCCACTAATGAAAGCAACAAACACGATACAGATCAGTTTTATGAGAGGCTTCAGTCGGTTATAAAGAAGTGCCCAGGAAAGGACTTGACCATCCTGGCGGGAAATCTAGACGTCAAACTTGGAACGAACAACATCGGGCATGAAGATATCGTGGGACGACATGAACTGGGGGAAGGAAACAAGAATCGCCAGAGATTTGTAAATTTATGTGAATACGATGAGATGGTTATATGTGACATTATATTCCCCACAAAGCTACATTGGTCTCGCCGGACCATACTACAATGAACCAGATTGGTCACATTTATATCAATAAAAAAATCTGGGCCGCAAAAAGCATCATCATAAAGAATGGACCTCTATCGAAACCGTGGGTAGTATTCAAGTACGGAAAGACAAGAAGACAGAAATTAACAGCAGTAAAACAAGAGCAGAAAAACTCAAGAGAAAGGCCTGGTACATAGAAGCAAACATTGGAGTGATGAGATCATTAGAACCGACAAGTAGAAATACATGGAAGAGCTAGCAATGACAGCAGAGAAAGCTTCAAGAGAAGGAAATGTGAGACAGTTATATGACACAGCAAAGAAGCTGGCAGGGAAATCATACCAAACCAGAACGACCAGACAAAGACAAAGAAGGTAAGCCAATCACAGATTTATGAACAGTGGAACATATGGGTAGAATACTTTGAGGAACTCTTGAATAGGCCAGCTTCATTGAATCCACCGGATATAAAAGCAGCACCTACAAACTTTCCTATAGCTGTCACTCCACCAACGATCGAAGAAATCAGGATGACCATCTGACAAAGTCAGTCAGTCAGTCAGTCAGTAACAACGTAGAACTTTATACTTACATACATCAGTTCGAGTTGCCACACCATATTAGCACAGAGATGCAGTGGTCGATTCAAATTCCGTAGTGCTAGATTTAGTAAACTTATAAGCTGTAATCAGGAAAATTAGGGTTTGAAGATGTTATTCAAGGAGTATAATCCAATGAAATCAACTTGGAAAGAGGAAAAAAATGACATGAAGGATTCAGAAGATTAGAATTTGGGAGAACACAAAGAGTGGATGCACCTGCGCCATCGCAAACGATTTTGAGCCATGTCATTCAGGGTCTCTAACCATCGGTTGCTATCAACTCGCGGTCCCCAACCAGGTAGTCTACACCTACCAACATGACTCAGTCTACTTGTCAGTGACTTCATGGACTTGTGCCATGTTTTGGTTTGGCCGCCCCTAGCTTTCTTCCAACCTACTCCTATACAACAAAACATCGCACGTCGAGGCAGTCGATGGTTGGGCATACGTAACACGTGTCCCAGCCATCTCAACTGATGAAGTTTCACCACTTCATCAATTGATTTGCCATCCTTACCTAGTACCCGTTTCCTAACAACTGAGTTACTTACTCGATGGTCCCAGGATATACGAGCAATGTTTCGAAGACATCGATGATCAAATACTAGTAACCTACGAATATCCTCTACTCTTACCGGCCATGTTTCACTGTCATAAAGTAGGACGGAACGACTGCTGCGCAGTAAACACGTCCTTTGGTTGATAGACGGATATCTCGCCTACGCCATAAATGACGCAAGTTGGTAAAAGCTAGTCGAGCCTTCTGTATCCGTGCTGAGATTTCGTCACACACCAGACCACAAGGGTTGATGAGACTTCCAAGATATGTCAAGCGGTCGACACACTCAATTACTTCACTCCCTATCACTAGTTCGGGTGTCGATGTAACCCAATCCTAAAGTGTTGCTTCGAGGGAGAGAATCGCATCCCGAACATGCTTGCATTGTTGCTTAGAGTGGTCAGAAGACTGCATTTTGTCAGCGTTTTCACCAAATAGAACTATGTTATCGGTATATTTTAGGTCAACAAGTGAATCAAGAGTGGGAAAGCAGTAGGACCCGACAACCAGCTGAAGCACTCAAGTTAGACACAGAAAGGAGATCTGAGCAAGTTTGAGAACTACAGAGGCATCACACTACTGTCGGTGCCAGGGAAAGTCTTCAACAGAGTGTTGCTGAACCGGATGAAAGATTCAGTCGACACCCAACTTTGAGATCAACAGACCGGATTACGTAAGGATCGGTCGTGCACAAACCAGATCGCGACACTACGGATCGTCGTTGAACAGTCGATTGAATTGATTTCGTCACTATACATTAACTTCTTTGATTATGAGAAGGCGTTTGAGAGAATGAATAGGAGAACCTTATGGGACTTTCTTCGACACAAGGGTGTACGTGAGAAAATCGTCAACACCATCCGGAATCCATAGAACGGACTACACTGCAAAGTCGTGTATGGAGGACAGCTGACAGACACATTCCAAGTAAAGACCGGAGTTAGACAAGGTTGTTTACTCCCCGCCTTCTTTTTCTTCTGGTGTTTAACCTGATTATGAATACCTTCACATCTGACTGGAAGCACGGAATGCAATGGATAGCTTGGATGCAACTAGATGTTTTGGACCTCGCTGATAACCTAGCTCTTCTATCCGATAGGATACGCAAGGTACCCAATGTTCGTTGGGCGGATACCATCAGCAACAGGGTACCGTGGAAGAGAACTAACCGGCTTCAATTTGGAGAAGAAATTAAGAAAAGACGCTGGAGGTGAATAGGACGTACATTGTGGAAGTCATCAAACTGCTCCACGAAGCAAGCTCTAACTCGGAATCATGAGGGGAAACAGAGAAGAGGAAAACCAAAGAACGAATTGCACCGAGAATTGAAAGCAGACATGAAAAGGGTGAATAGCAACTGGAAGGATAGCTCAGGACAGAGTTGGATAAAGAATACCGGTGATCGGCCTCTGCTCCTTCACGATGTGTATCGTGCGTAATTGAGTAAGTTTCAGTGACCGCACTTACAAATAACTGCTCAAATCTAATTTTCGGAATTAATTATTTGTGAGACAATTATGTAATGCACCAAAATCCTATTTTACTTCAACATAAACGATCAGTTAATATTTTTCACTAGTGAAATTGGTTTTATTCATCGTATAGCTCATGTATCTATAGTGACTACTCATTCTACTACTGTTTCCTATATCGGTGGATTACTTCATGCTTTTCTTTGCAATCTGTGTCTATGGTATTTTTCCCTAATTCAACAGGAAAACTACAACGACTTCATAGTTTGCTACGTGAACTTAAGTCGGGGAATCATCGCGTTCTTATTTTCACTCAAATGGCCCGAATGTTAGATATTCTAGAACAATTTCTGGCATATCATGGACATCGTTATTTACGTCTGGATGGAACCACGAAAGTGGAACAACGTCAAGTTTTAATGGAGCGTTTCAATCAGGATAGTCAAATTTTCGTTTTTATACTATCTACTCGTTCTGGTGGTTTAGGAATCAACTTGACTGGAGCTGACACAGTTATATTTTATGATTCCGATTGGAATCCCACTATGGATGCTCAAGCGCAAGATAGGTAATTCTATCAGATCAATTTATTTATATTTTTTATCACGAAATGTTAATGTCGATTTTTCCAAATACGTTACATAACAATGCACAACGTTTTTTGACTTAAAACTACAGAACATCTTTTCCAAGGTTCCTTGTTCTTAATTGGATTTCATAAACCACTATAAAAAGCATTACTACAGAGACTACTAAACCACATTGAGAATAGCATAATTCTCGCTCTCTATTTGCTGCATGACGCACAAATGACAGTACTAGAATATTCAGTTTTTAAAGTCAAATTTTTCTGATCCTTTCTTTCTAATGCAAATAAGAAAAACAGTCAAAAATATTAATATCCCAAGATAAAACAACTTCATCTGTAGTTTAACGTTCGTAACAAATGGGATCTTTGAAACAGTTGTTGAAGTCTTTTAGGAGCAGGCCTGATCAATTCATCAAGATAGTAGCTCTCGCTCGGATAAACATTTGTCGAATCTAGTTTAGCTAATTTCCCGTTTCGTATCACAGTCCGTAAAACAGCGTCTTGTATTCTTAAAATTGAATGAGTGCATTTATACCGTCCAACGAATAATTGTTACAACGCAATTAATATTTTAGTAAGTCATAAACAGCAGAGGTTGTATTCCGAACAGGGTTAAAGACAAACATCACTAAAATCACACTGAATATTGTACATTTTAGGTGCAGACTACTTAGCTTAGTATAATAATACTCGATTGATAATTCTAAATGATGGCACAATACTAGATAATAGTTGGTCATATGTGGAGGAGACCTGTCCGGTAGTTATTTTACCCATATACATCTTATTCGCGTGCTTCCCGTACTTTTCAGCCGGTTTTTTTCAGTGGTATAAATTATCATGATTAAAGGAGGGAGGTAAAATAAATGTAGTCAGTCAAAAAGCGAAATCAAACACATACAAAACGAATCAGTAATAGATTGCAATATTTATAAAGAGATTACAATATTTCCCGATTAGTTAAACAACTAAAGACTAGGTCCATTCAGATTAGATTGGGACAAGTAGTAGATTTTTTAGATTAGACATGCTTAATTACTTATTTTGCTGTGGTTATGACTAATGCCATATAATAAGTTTTCATTTAATTTGTATTATCGGGTGCATATTCTTACCAAAAATAAACAAAATGTATGAAAAGATCTCCAGCAATATGTTTACAGGAGATATTTTTAAAGGAATTACGGCGTGCTTTGAGTTGATTAGTAGTGTAAGAATCTGATATATTGTTTATGAATCATGTTTAAATGTCAAAAGGTCTGTACCCTTTCTTATTTCCAGTGTTGTATTCAGCATCTGACCTTCAATGTTAAATTATATAATCAAGTCAGCTCTGGAATTTAACAGGCTTTTTAATTCTGAATTCCAACAAAGGTTTATGTGTAAAGCCCATATTACAGAAATTCCACTTTATTAAATATTTCTTGGTCATCACATTCCACTTATCATGGGATTTTACGATAATTTACTATCTTTACACTAATCGTTTTATTGTTTTATCTCTGGGCAGCTGAATTAGAAAAGATTCTTTATTACAGGTGAATCCAGTGATTATTGTGATAAAAGTGTTGAATACATATTTCCCTTCATTGTGTAAGTACATTAAGCCTTTATTTATTTCTAATTTTAGGTGCCATCGAATCGGACAAACTCGTGATGTTCATATTTATCGCTTGATAAGTGAAAGAACAGTGGAAGAAAATATATTACGTAAAGCTAATCAAAAACGCTTCCTCAGTGACGTGGCTATTGAAGGGGGCAAATTCACCACAGCTTTTTTCAAACAAAATACCATAACAGAATTATTTGCAGAGCCATCTGGACTTCAGGTTATAAAAAACTATCTCTCATCTTAATGTATTTCAATCTTTTTTGTATTCATATTTTTACAATGTTATTTTATTTGGTTTATTTATTAAACTGTGGAAACCTACCTGAGGGCTTCAAATTCTATTTAAAATGGGATATAACTTAGTACCATTGTTACTATTCTGTAAAGATAGTCATTAGACACTTTGTCAGTCATAAGCAACGTTTTAAACCTGGCACATACGTGAGCCAGGCCAAATTGTCATACCACATCTAGATGAGATTTTCAAGATAAACACCGAAGTACTGGTATCAATGATGATAAAGATTTCCTTCGAGATCACTTATAAGGACTGAATTCGCGAAATAAAAAGTGTAGAATAATTTTTAAAACTCAGGAAGAATAAATGGATCTAAGCCATTGCGACCGGTTCTAAATCATTCAACATCTTCAACAAGTAGTTGCGAACCATAACCAAATAGTGTGAACCTACAGTGATCAATGACTTCATGAACTGGCTTCACTTTTGCGATTAAGCCTCACCTTTAGTTTTCATCCATCCTGTTTCTACACTAGCCAACGTTTTACTTCGAGGTATTTGCCCGGGAATTTGTGCATTATAACTACACTACTTATGAATAACTAGGACTTTTTCGTTGTATTTTAATGGTTAACTATAAACAAACTGTTTTCTTATTAGTTGATACTTATTTTATCGACTCGGTCATATAAAACTGGTCTTTTGTGTCTGTATGCCCTGTGATAGGACTATCATTTAGTACATTACCTTTAATGGGATTTTGACGTAAACTAATTGTTTGTTGCAGAACCACTTATGTATATTCTGGAGAGCTAAGGCAGTCTTTTAATTTACATGACATTGGATGCGCTGTAGAAAATCTAACTAGTGGTGTGGGGTCATAATATACCTTATCTGCAGCTTTCTTGGTGAAATTTAGTTAAATGCTACATGTAAATGTCTGATTTTTTTGTTGAGCCTCTAATTCTAATATATAAGTTCAGGATGTATGTATCAACATCCTTTTACAACTCTAGGTCACAGTACTAAATCTTACTTTACTTCTTACCGTTCTATTATGGTTTATTCTAACCAAAGAACGATATTAACTCAGTTTCTCCTGAAAAAACTCTAGCTTAGTATTTTAGTTAGTGTATAACTTCTGAAAGTCACATCTGTAAAAATTTTCCTTTCCTTTTTGCATGTTTTCTGTGGTTATTTTTTGTGTAACTTCAGGATTTAGCAAAAATGAAAGGATCAGCTACTCTTATGGAGACTTCTTCGCTTTCTCATTCTGATAAAAAATGCATGGATTCTAATTTCGGAAGTGTATCTCAGTCTGGAGATCGAGTTGTAGTTACACATCTTGTCCCAGAAATTCGTCCTGATGGTTGTATGTCAACATCAGCATCTGCCTCTCCACGTGGTGTCAGTGCTAATGAATCGTCAGGTCTTATATCGAATTCTGAAGCCCAGTTGGAAGCTCTGCTTGACGCTTGTGAAGAAGAAAGTGATCGTATTGCCGCCAGACGAGTGTTAGATGAGGCAAAAGTATGTCTAACTTTTCTTTAAGTTGCTATTCTTTTAGTAAATTCAATTTTCCAAACTTTTAAGAATAAGAATACTGAATACATCTCACTATTCATCTGCATATGTGTATGTAAATACAATAGATTAACAAGTGCACCACACCATACTCCTTTTGAAAAGTTTGTTGTTTGCTTCAGTATAATCTCATAATGTTTCAAATTTAAATGTTGAGCTGATCGATACTGCTCTATACACTTATGTCCAATATCATTCAGCAATTAAAAAATCTCCACAGAGTATTCAACAACAAAGAATATTGGAGCGCATAATTATTTCAGAGAACGTTTTTAGGAGGCTCTACAGTTACGAATCCGTGTTACCGATTGAAAATGGTAAGTTTCACGTCGATCGAGTCATAAGTACTACAAAATACGTTATTGGTAATGTTCGAAAATTTTATACACCGAGAGATAAAAAATTATTTGTCTTCCAGTGTGTAGTTCTAATCAGTAAATAAAATCGTATGTAAAAGCGTTTTATACGAAATACGTAATGTAACGCAGTTAAGATAATAATAATAAGAAGAAGAATATTAGGTTAAATAAGACACATGTAATTCGGAATAAGATGTTATGGAGGGGAAAGTGAAATAATCTGTATATTTACGGACAAAATCATAACTAAAAATGGAATAATCGTATTATAGACCAAAATAAACGAAGGGGTCGAATGTATCATTTTTGTATCTATAAGTTAGGTTTCTTTCAGTTTCTCCCAATTCCTTTAACTGTTTAGACTGTTTTTTTAGCGTCTTTTGGTAAATCACTTGGAACGAGATATAACAAAGCATTTTCGTGCTTTGTCCATAATCAGTTAGGTGGGAAAATGGCGATATTGATTTATTTTATCATGCCGGTACGTGTTAACGAGCACATAAGGATAACGACCTTTGAATACAATCAGTGTAATAGTTAAATTGATAAAGACACAGAAGAACTCATCGGTATTTTACCCTGAATTTACTACTTCAATATTGGCTTCTTTGCGAAAGTGGTGTTTAGTGACATAAAAGATAGTTTTAATGGATCTGCCTAACCGACGTGTTAGAATTTCACTTACTTTATCACCTTCTCAATCAATTCTTAGATATAAAGTTTTTATCTTAATTGTGGCAATCTGTGTCTTACATTACTAATAATATATAATACTAGTACTTCATAGTATTTATGACTCAGTCGATGTGAAATTCATTTTATAAGATGGATTGATTCGACTTTAGTATTTAGTCTATTGTAACACGACAATTATGGATTTATAACTGTAGAGCCTGATGAAGAAGTTATTGGAAACAAGGGTTCACTCTAATATAATTTGTTCAGTACTATCATTTAAGTGATTCCGAATAAATAACTTTTTCCAATTAAATAGGCAGATTTGGCAGAATTCGAAGAAAAATCACCTTACAATGAAGACAACAATGATTCTATCATTGCTGATGATAATGGTTCAAACATTCCTTCTGTAACAGTTATAGAACCATTTTCTCGTCTTCGAAGCTGTCTACAGCAATCGGATGAAGACAATACTGCATCACAAAATACAAACGAAACATTGGAAACAATCGAACAAATTGTGGAACGTGAGTTACTTGGCTTCGAATCCCAGTTGAAACCTGTTGAGCGATTTGGAGTTCGGCAAGTTGAAGAACAAAGGGAACATATGCTAAATGAACAGTTAGATATGGCTGACGTAGGTTTTTGTTGCTTTCTCAAATGCATGTAATCATACATTAACAGATTATTATTTCCCTAGATTAGTCGTGTATCATTCTATAGGTGTAACAATTTTTATCTTGATCTTACTTTATTCCTTCATGTTAATATTTATGTAAGTTCTTTTACTGCAATAAGTAATTTGGAATTATTGATCTCGCTTTTGTTAACTCATTTTAGCGGGAAACAAAACATTTATCGTACTTGTTTCACTTTTTCTAATCAATGCAGTGGATTTTTTAATGTAGAAAAAATAAATTTTTGTTGAACTGGTTGGAAAGTAATTAAGGGGTATTTCTAAGATATTTTTTTAATATTCAATCAACTTGACATTTACTGCATTCTGAACGTTAATGGAAAATGCTTTTAAGAAAGTACTATCGTTATATTCTAACATATCGATTATAGAGCAGTTTTCATTCTTTTGAGTGAATTACTTAGGACAAAAACAGTAACTTTCAGTGATCTAAGAGTGATTTAGCGTAGTGTTTCGGTGGATATTGTAGTATGAATGACTGATATAAGTTTTCTTATCAACAAAATAAATAAAATTTACACGGTTTCTACTGAAAAAGCGTATGAAATATTAACACTGATTATTTTTAAGAAAATAAATGTAACATTCGTACATATTCAGTGAAGAATTCCCAAATCTCGCTTATGTGTGTTTATCATGATGTCGTCTAGAAACGTTGTCACTTTCTCATGAAAGCTATACTTTCAGTTCACGTAGTTCAATCATTGTTTTTTCATTCTGATTTTAGGCCGAATTAATAGAGTCCGAAAAGGTATGGCATCTTGAAAAACTGAAAGCCTTACATGAGGCAGACGAACAGCGAGCTGATTTAGAAGATGATGACATGTTTTACTGTTGCGGTAAATATGATGTCTCCAGCCAGTTAGCTGAATTGGAACGTTTGGAGAGAATCCGTATGGAGGAAACTAATGATGCAGATGCGTCGATTAACCTTTTAGATTCTGGACAGATATTTTCTAGTGGGCGATCTAAATATCCTAGGAAGCGACCATATGATTCGTGTTCAACTGCACATAAAGTCCAAGTTCGACAGGTAGTGTGTCCACGACTCTCACGGACAAACAAGTCAACGAGGTCTACTAGTGTTGGAAAGGTGCCTAAACGACCAAGGTTGGATAAACCGAAGAAACCGATAGATGTAAGTTTTTTTCACATAATTTTCACTTCATAATCAATTTTCATTTCGTAAGCCATTTGATAGTAAATAGATTGTTGTTTTATAGATAGATTTCAGATCGTGATCGATATCACTAACTATTCTTAGTATGTTCTTACATTCACTTCGTAACTGAACTTGTGGATAATAAAAACACTTCGAAGTGTATCTGTTACAAGCTACCAGTCTAATTAAATACTCTGATGACTGACGATAAATGGCTACATGAATAAGCTGATAATTATCGAAGGTAAGTTCTCCGAACTCATTTGTGTAAAAAACATAGGATCACAGGTCGACTGACAGATGATCCCCCTTTTTTTTTTTAGAAAACCGATCTATGTATAAAGTGTCTAATCAATATAAAACTAGTTATATCACAAAAATCTAATCAACGTCACTAACTACATTTTCACTTTTTTTTTCCTGTCATATCAATGGGTTCTTTAACGACTTTGTTTCTCTTAAATGTTTTATACTTAAGAGTTCAAGTTTCGGAAATATAATTTGAATAGTTCAGATCATGAGTCAATTGAAGCTGGACCACTATGGGAAACCTAGAAGCACTGAGACGTCCAATAGGGTCTTTTGTGTGATAGTAACTCACTGAAGACAATGGTGGATATGTCGCTCATTCTGGTGGATTAGTTGGAGTTAGATATGAACACCGTTGGTTTAGAGGTTAAGCGTTCGTGCGCGAGACCGACAGGTCCTGGATTCGAATCTCGCGAGGCGGGATCGTGGATGCACGCTGTTGACGGGTTCCACAATATGACGAAACGGCCGTCCAGTGCTTCCAGGTTTTCCAAGGTGGTCTAGCTTCAAATGACTCACGATCTCAACTATTAAAATTACTATAATGTCCACAAAAACCCCTTCACATATAATTTGCTCTAACTAAAGTCTAAAAGTGTTTAAAATCTCTGATTTTTAGATCACATTCGTTAGTGACAATGAAAAAGACGAAATAAACATCAATCAAGATATTAATAAAAGAGCCAAGTCTACAAATCAGCCAACACAATTTGATATTATTGAAAGTAGTAAAACTGGAATCAAGGCATTTGTTGAGAAAATGCATTTTCCACCGACGGTCCACACCAAAAGGTTTCATAAGTCTGGTATTCGAAATACTAATCTCTATTCACAAAGTAATAATCCTCAATCTAAAACTGGTGCATTTTTACAACAGGATGTAATATCTTCCAGTAAACTCGAAAAGAATTATGTATCATCTCGGTCGTATCCAATTCCAGAACTCTCTAAAGAGAATGTAGGCTACAAAGGATCAGAAGAGATCCATCATTTCGATCAATCGCATTCGCAATACAATAGATCAACTACTCAAACTCAGAAAAGGATAGACAGACGAAATACAGAATGTCATCTTCCAGATAAAGTGTTTCGATTTGATGCACCGAATTCTGTGATTTCTTCCAACCACTATGATCCTGAAAATGTGGCGCATGAGGAAATTGTTGAAGCTAATAATTTAATTGAGTTACCTTTCAATCAACAGTCAAATAACGTCCTCTCAGACGCATTCGAGGTTTCTGTGGGGAGTTCAACTAAATTACAGTCCGACCGAATACCTGGTTTTCACAATGATATCTCGGTAAGTACATCTCTTGTCATATTCACTTAAATATGATTTTTAACCAGATTATTTCAGATGAAATTTGTTACTGAGAATCTGAGATACATTGTGTCTAAGACATGTGTGATCTGAAAATAGTGTGTTGGTAACAGTATGTTTCGAAAACTTACTTTTTTATAGGTACATTCTTCAGTTATCGATCATATAGTTCAAATCCCATATTTTTTTTACTTAAACTCTAATATATTAACTATCAAATGATTACTGATCATCGGGGTCTCTGTGAGTTGTCTCTGGATCAATTAGTGATCTGTTTACCCTATGTTCTGAAGAAACGTAGATTAAGTACGATAAATTTTGTGAACAGTAAAACTAGTATCTGTCCAGATATTAACTCTCCTTATTTATTGTTGTGTATTTCCTGTAGTGTGTAAACTTCATTTACACTTTGATGTTTCGTCTAGGGTTCAGAAGGGCTCAGTGCTACTGGTATATCATGTACGAAATATGTTGTACCATCAACCACTACTACTCCTGGTATACATTTACAAAACAGATACCAAAATTCACCAGATATACCGTTCCGTTGGTTGAGCCCAACGACCCCGTCGGTTCAGCATCCTCCGGAGCCCATGATTCCTGTTCAGTCTATTCCCGATGGAAGTCATCTGAACTTAACAGCAAGACAAGTATTGGCTTCAACTGGACAACCTGTGTTTGTAATTACACGCCAAATGAAAACACCTTCGGGTAAGTTATGCATGCCTACTTTGTTTCCGAATTTTCAAACAAGGATGATCATCGTTTTTATGGCAATTCTCATCAGTTATGTGATTAGTCATAAAATAAATCCTATGTACACGAAATATTTTAGGATATAAACGTCTCTTTAACTACTTTTTTCAAATTAAGTCAAAGCATAATGGCTTCGTATGAAGATAATACTTCCTGCACTAAAACTTTTAAGATGGATATTTGCTAAGATTTCTCATTTTCCACTTTGCAAGCTTAAACAACACCGATTTATTGTGTATTCTTTAGTTTCTGATGATTATTCGTAATTCAGGCACAACCAGCCTTGGTATTTTTATTTCAGAGGCTTGAATGGTGGTTGGAGTTGGACGTAATCCTACACCATTGGTATCGATCGCTGATCTTTCTAGTTTGTAAGGAAAAACCGTATCATTCTTTCAACAGCCGAAGTGGAGTCAATTTCATCAGTGTGACTTTTAGGACTTTAGCTTTCATAGTCATCCACATCTGACTCCCTCTCAGGAATGCAAGACCAATTTTATCTTTGGTAGTGAACTTGTTGATCGAATGTTTTCTCGTCCTTTTTCCAAATATAATTACTTTACCATTTGTGTGTACACTTACAAATTACGAAGCTTTTGAGATACTTATCGTGACAATAAACGTTCAGGATGTGTTTTCTAGCTGGTATTTGTATTTGCTTTGATAACCAATTTTAAAAACTGGTTAGTTAACATTGTTTTTTTCTTGCAGGTGAAATATATCAACAACGCTTTACTCATCCCGTTGTTCCGCCATCACAGTTTACACGCATGGTTTACCGATTACAAAAACCGTCGGGGATCTCTTCTCGAACCTCTACACTTTTAGAAACTAATCGTATTCGACAACCTCAACTACCGACTGAATCGTCAATAACTTATAGACCGGCAATGTTGAATAATCCTCCTACCGCGGGCGCGTTAGTTATGAGACCAGTCGCTAAAACTGTAAATGTAAATGTGTCTCCTGATTCTGGATTACAGGATATGACAACCTCTGTAAAGCATTTTTCTCAACCTCCCCGATTTTCAGCGAATGGCATCAAGTGTGCAACGAGCATTCCTGTGATAAGAATGATTAACTGTGACGCTAACAAAACAGGTCCTATCATAAGACTGGTCTCCTCAGAAATAAATCATATCAACAATGATGTGACCCATCCACATAATTCTCAGTCGGTTTCAGCGCTACTTACACCAACTAACACTGTTCGAATCGGGAACACTGTACGACTCATTCCCAATCATATTTCCAATTCCAATGCACAGGTTATTAGGTTACAGCGTGTAGTCTCCAACTTGACGCATCCCAAAAACACATGATCTTCAACTAAGAAAAGAAACCAATTATTTGGTCGTCGATGTACATATATTTGTGAATATAATGTATCTAAATTGTACAATATTGTATAGTTACTTCATAAGATTTTGTCTGAAATAAAATCCTTATGATAATGTACCATATTATGGTGTAGCAATGAGATTGGTTGTGTACGCAAGTACCTTTTTTCTCCACTACTGAGAAAAAATATAATATCGAATGGTTTTATTGATAGTAAAGGGTGAAAAAATACATAATAAATAGGACTCTGTGTTTAATATATTTCACGCATCTTTGCTACTTTGTTCTGTTTTCAAACGTTCTACGACTTGCTTCATTGCCCATGTCATTTTGATACGTTTTCGCTTTCGTTTAGTTGTCGTTCTTTTTAGGATGTAGGGTTTGTGTAATTTTTGCTTACACGATAGTGGGTTGGGTCCTTTGGTCTTCTTCCTACGTGTAAAACTTTCTTCGGAAAAACCAAATCTGTCACAAAATTGTTTTATTTTACTACACTAATGAGAAAAATACGAAGAAATAGAAAATCGCAAGTTGTCATGAACTGCACAAAACGAATGAGGTCGGATGCGGTCAGTCAGTCAGTAACAACGTAGAACTTTATACTTACATACATCAGTTCGAGTTGCCACACCATATTAGCACAGAGATGCAGTGGTCGATTCAAATTCCGTAGTGCTAGATTTAGTAAACTTATAAGCTGTAATCAGGAAAATTAGGGTTTGAAGATGTTATTCAAGGAGTATAATCCAGTTAAATAAATTTGGAAAGAGAAAAAAGAAAGGAACATGAAGAATTCAGTTCGAGTTGCCACACCACATTAGCACAGAGATGCAGTGGTCGATTCAAATCCCGCATTGGTAGAGGTGGTAGGAGTATAAGCAGAAATCGGAAAGATTAAGATGTGATGTTCTTCAAGGAGTATAATCCAGTGAAATCAACTTGGAAAGAGGAAAAAAGGGACATGAAGAATTGAGATTATAATTTGGGAGAACACAAAGAGTGAATGCACCTGCGCCATTGCAAACGATTTTGAGCCATGTCATTCAGGGTCTCTAACCATTTCATTTTATAATCACATTGTGATTCTTTTAAAGGTTTCTATCTAGTATTTTATTAGTGTCACAATACTTCACTAGGTTGGACTCATTTAGTAACGGTCATTCAGGAGACCAATATAAATTTTATTTGGGTGGTAAACTTTCAGACAACTTTGGGAGGGGGTTGTGTTTAGAATTAGTAACCAGCTTCCTAGCTAACTACATTAAACATTAATTGCCCTGGTACGACCGGGTGGAGAGAGTCAGCTCTCTTCGAAATGCTCTCACATGGCCGCGCGTATACAATCGACTGCCAGGAAAGTCCTACTCACTGTATTCTCGTGGTGGGGTGTTTACGAAACTGAGAAGACGAAAACAGAGTATTCGGCGCTCTAATCGGGATAGTGGACACAGATGTTCCACCTAGGGGAGTTGGAAAACCCTGACTCCGAATTGATGTTGTACATGGGCTCCATGGTCCTGAGGAAACAAATGGCGTATGAACCAGTTGTTGGCCACCGGCTACCATGGTACTGCGTCTTCTAACGTTGCTCGGCTGCATTGTGGATCAGACCTTTAGGCCGAAGACTCCGGGTGTGGCCCCCTAACGAAAGTATCACAGCCCATACACAAAGCAAGTGATTTGTGTGGCACATATGTATTCGATGCCCCCTTGTGCCAATATCTAGTTGCTCAAATAAATAAATCCAGTTGCAGTAGCTTTAGACAATCTTCATTTTAAGCTATCGATTATTACGAAAACGGCTTTGTACGGCTTACATACGCCATAATCTAATTCAACGAAGCCACCTGATATGGTGTTTCAGAAATGTACTTAAAATATCTCGTCCGACCCCAGTGGCTGTTGATTTCTTTGTAGTTTATCAAGATCGGTTACTGCAGGTTGACGACTATGTTCCCAAACTTCACTTATATTTTCATGAGTCTTAGATATTATGTGGATGGGTTTGATATCTTCCCACTCGATAAATTAGGTGTACTTGACGTACTAGTAAAATAGTCATCAGACTATCTTGCAAAAAGGAGATGCACATAGAAATTAGCCAGTTCGACTTTGGTTTGGAACTATGAGTTATGATATGGAGTAAAAATGTACTGAAGGACCACTGAGTGCTTTAGCAGGGTTTTATGACACTGAAAGTATTACTTGAAGTGAAACTATGGGGCTGTACTGACTTGATTTATTCCCAGTTATTAGCTTGCCAGTTGTAAATTACTTCACTGTGTCTCAATAACCAAGTTTGTTTTGGGGTCAGTTTTGTGCGAGGACAATCTAATTATTACGTGCTCCCATATAAACGGTTTCGGTAGACAAACTAAACAGCTACAAGCTTATCCTTGACAATTCTTTTTATTAGGAGCGCGCTAAGTAGGTACTGCTGTTAATACAAAACCCAGTGGAGATATTTAAATGATATCTATAGGAAGTTCCGAGTGCTGTTGTTATAGGTAATCTTCACCTCTCAGTTCCCCGCATTATGAAGGGATTTGAAAAGAAAACTGGATTAGGAATGGTCACAGAGACGAAATACGATCACAGAACGCAAGGGAAAACTGCTCAAAGACAATCACATGCGGCCTATTCATAGGAAGTTTTTGATGTGTTAGCTCCGTATTTCAAGAGGCTTTACAACTGGCAACGGAAAATGGGTGAAGTGTAACATTTTCAGGGCCAACTTTTTCCAACTCATCCCGTGGTGAGGAAACAGCATCGGTTACAATCCTCGTTCTCTGGGGAAAACACCTCACTTCGGTCACATCCCTGCAGTCAGTGAGACGACCTCGGACTCTAATTCGCTGATTATAGTTTTACTGTTCTTCACCCGACCTGTCTGGCATGGTGATATTCAAACCCGACCATCATATGAAGGTGGGGACTACGATCGGGATCTACTGGAGATTGTTTTCTGAAACAAATTTCCAGATCCATCAAGGGACGAAGAGTAGCAGTAGTTAAAGTGACCACAGTCGACTGACCAATAAACAAAATGAGAAACATTTGATTGAAAATAAGGTACTTTTGCGGAAAACATAGTTTTTATAGCAAATCATATAAATCAGTATATGTTTTGATGTCCTCTTGGATCGCAAAAACGCTTTTCCTTGAAATCATAAATATAGACACTAAGTTAAGGAAAAATATATTATGAGTTTAAACTAAATGCTCAGTTTCTCATTGGATAAAACTTTTTAGTTATTTGATTTCTCAAAAAGGTCACGGGTTTAAATTCCTGTACAGCGCTGCTAGGTGTATCTACATGTGATTTGAACGTTATTCCCACGATATCTTTTGTTTTATACTGTTGCAAGTGAACACTTGAAACGAAACTCCTGAAGAAATTTAAGTATGTCTGGATGTAGCTATTTCCACCGTACTGATAGACATCAAAACATGAGAAACCCTTTTATCACTTTCTAATATAAACTGCTGAGTCAGTTTAGTAGGAATCATAGTACACAACCGGAATTTCCTCATCCTTTATAGTAGTCATTCAGCAGGAAAACTTCGATTGAATACCTATTGTTTCATTAGCATCATCATTAAATGTTTCCGACACAAATTTCAGAGGTTGATAACTTATAACACGCCGCAACAGAAGCAATGTTATGCATAATGATAATTAGACCACTACAGGTAATACAGGAACTATATTACTCTTGTGAGCCGTTATCTCTATGTTCTACGATGTTCGGTGAAATAAGATGACATACCCGACGTTTGGAAGTAACAAATACAAACTGATGCAACAAGTAACGTTTTTGATCAAAAATCTTTAATAGTTGAATAGCATAGGAAAACCTGTAGGCTACTAGTCAACTTGACACAACTGCGGCTACATAAGTTCTAATAAGATAAGTTTAAACGCTGATGGTCCGAATCTATTGAACCAGGATACAACATAATGTAGTGCTTTCTGACATGATCATTTCAAGATCTTCTACTAACCTATAATTATTCCGATAAAAATTCTCCTGAATAGTGATTTTCAACAGAGTATTAAAAATCAATGGTCAGATGATTAACGAGTACTTTTAAATACTCTACAGAGGACTTTTGATTAGTATGTCAAAAATGGTCTCGTTTTTGCTGATGGTTGATCCAATGACAATACAATTTCGTTTTATGACGAGACAGATTTCAGTGTAAGATCAATTCCGATGTGCCAGGAAATATTAGATAAGTAGTGGTGTATGTTGACAAACAATGAGACGTCTTACTAATGATCCCATGAACTTGGCGTCTTTTATCTATATATTTAACAAAAATCAGGTTTATCTAACAAAACTGAGATCCTTGGATAATTTAAGAAAATAAAGTGTTCACTTTACATAAGTAAATGGCGTAATGTTTATGTGCTCGGTCTCTTCTATTAATGAGTCCACAGTAGGACGAAACGGCCGTTCAGTGCTTCCAGGTTTTTATGGTGGTCTAGTTTCAATTGACTCATGATCTCAACTATTGAAGAAAACACTTTTTGGAAATAATCTCAGCTATTTAAATAATCCCAACGCTTCAATTAGTAAACTTGTCTAAACTCCTTCAGTGTAATAATCAAAATTATCCCTTTAATACTTCAAATAAGAGGACTACAGATTTTTAAGAGGCTTTCTTTTACATCTGAAAGTATTATATGCCTAAGATGCAACTAAAATGCTCACTGATAATCTACAACAGACCTACAAAAGATACTAACTACTTTCACTCAATTAGTAAAAGTAAATATGCTCAATATTTTTGTTAGGCTAAAATTGGTTTCGAACAGTTTCACTAAACTAATGTAGGGTAAATTACCTGATTATAATTTGGGTAATCGCGAAAATGTGCTCACAGTAACATGATATCATTAGACAAGTAATTGGCCAAGAAACAGCACATTTTATGAAAAACGAGACGTCTTGACATTTATTTGATAGTTAGACCTTCAATTAAATTAATTTGAAGCGACTGTAACGCCTTTGTAATCCTAGGAATTGAGGATCAGCAGACGAGGGGGCACTTAACTACACCTAAATATACAAAACACAACTATACTCTAGCAAATTAGTGAAATATTCAGTAATTCTGATACCTTACCAGCATGATGAGAAAGATTGGGAAATAAACTAGTGCCTATTTTATTTCCGAATAAAGCATCATAAAATGAAGTTAGGACAAACCTGAAACTTTTAACAAAACTCACCTCCGAAAGTGTCAAGTCCGGTGCTCGTGTAGCCTTTTGTTGAAGCAATAACGAAACCGGAGTAGGAATAGACTCCAAATTGATTCGCTTGTGAGCAATGAAGAATATCGGCATTCCAGGGACAGTCCTGGCATACTGTTGCAGTAACTCGTCATTAGAAGCTAGAGCAAATAACAAACTACCCTTTCTAGACTTAGTTTCGGAGCATTTTTTTGACCGTGCAGTGAGAATTCTCCTTTTTATGCATGAAAAGGCAGATGTGTCTTTATGAACTTTGTGTGTACACTTCAGAACTTTGTATTGTTGAATAATTTGTAGTGCTCCGGAAAACAACTGACCTAGTTTTTCACACTCGAGAATAATACATGATGATGTAACCAGAATAAATTCGCACGAAAGTGTACACTTGAATTGTTGCTCAATGTGAAGCTGTTGTATTAATGCTTGTCGTGCAAAAGTACTGTCAACCAGTATTTCAAGTGGATTAGTTTTCAGTCCAAAATGAGTATCGTACAAGTCAATAGTCCTCCTGTAGTTTTTAACACGTTTAGTCTTCATTTACAGAAACAGATGAGATCTATCGACAGCCGTGTGAGATATGCACGCGCAACTACTCCATTGGCTGAACGAGCATGGGAATAAACACAACATAGCGACCTATCAGAATGAAGCGGGAATTATCATTTCCACCACTACAGTCAGATTCAGATTTGTGCAGTAAAAACAGAAGGCCTACAACCTATGTTATTCCTTTCTTAGTATGCTTCATGAGTGTCCGGTCTTCACTTGAATGAGTCAATTGAAGGTGAGGACACCACTGCTTCGAGCAACATGTCCTAAGATTCGATGACTCAGAGTGAAAACCTGTATGCTACGGGTATTTTGTTCGTTCATGGCTTTTCTACTAGCCTGCTATGTCCTCTGAGACGTCTCGATCTAATGGGAAGAAAATAGAGGATATTGTAGCGGTAAATAAATCCCCAACATAAATAGCTCTGTAAGTTTTCGACACTAGATGCTGACCACATGTTTTAATGGACTCACCTAGCTGAAGGCGCTCGGTCATGCATCCGCACCAGATCACGAGTGGGAACGCTGTGCTCAACAAACCTATGCAATCGCTAGCCAGATTAGATCAGACGATTCTCGATATACTGATAGCCTATCAAATATATCTTCGAACCTCCTCGTTTCTGCCTTTTGATTTCTCCTGATAGGTACGATTCATATTAGAAGATGTTACTGGTTAAAGCGTTGTCAAACTCCGAATACCTGTGGCATATTCATTGGTGAGCCTAACGTGATCTGGTACACCAAATTGTAAACTGTGAGTCTGTCCCTTTTTGGAATTCTGTTTATTATTGTCTTATATTAAGTTTTTATATATTGTGATATATTTTCCGGTGTTTTTGAATATATATTTTTTCCCTCGTTCATTGTCGTACTTGATATTTCACTATAACTTAACAGACACTCAAGGTACTTAAGCTAAAGACTATGTCCCACCTTCGTTCCAACTAATGCCTTACTGGCCAGACAAAGTCGAAGCCTGGTTCTGCTACGCGGAACCCGCCTTCTATGAGCACGGCGTGGACGACATACGTGCACAATTCCTCGCCGTAGTCAAGGCACTACCGCGCGAATTCAACAGATACGTAACACCTAGTATGTTTACTAGTGATGTTTCTGAACCGTACGAAACCTCAAAGCGTTCTATCCTTAAACGAGGAGGCCTAACCGATCGACAAAGGTTAGATCAACTCCTTAATAACATAGACTTGCAACACGGTTCTGCGACGGATATGTTGCAAAGAATAAGAGAGATTATCGGCCAAAGAACCGTCGGTGATGGCCTGTTCAAACAACTTTTCTTGTCGAAACCTCCTCAACAGATGCAAGCTGTGTTTGTCTCGTTCCACAACAACGCCTTAGACGAGCTAGCTGCATCTGCCGACCGCATTTTAGAAATCACGAAGTCTTCTAATACCGAGGTTCCTTCAGTGAAAGAAAAGCCTCAAACGACTCAGAACGACATTACAGAGTTATGTCATACACTTACACGTTATCTTAAATTTCGTAACGACCGTAAACGGTAACACAACCGCGCAGAAGCACTTCACATGGACGCTCTTTCTCTAGACCACGAGAGACTGGCGACCCCGACGGGTGCTGATATCATAACCAGTATGGAAAGTCCTCCGGAAAATGCGGGAAATCCTGCAATTTTCCCAACTCAAAACCGAAGGACTTGAAAAACAACTCGGGACACTTCCAAGCCGGAACGCGTTAACGGCAACCGTAGGCGATGAACATAGCCGTCTGTTGTAGCAGATGGAAAAACTTATTTATCTGTTTGCGTAAATTCCTTTTCCGGTTAAAGATTATCTCCAGTCACAATTAAGCACACGATAGATCCATTCTATCAACCACTACTCGATAAGTATTCTAGGATATAGCAGTCAAAACCGAAATTGCCATGTGTAACCAGCAACGTTACAAATCACATCACGGCTACAGGACCGCCTGTATTCTTGAAAGCACGCCGACTAGCTCCAGAAAGCTAAGGTTGGCCGAAAATGAATTTGACCACATGACAGACTTGGGCATCATGAGACCGTCAAACAGTCCATGGGAATCTCCGTCGCACATGGTCCCTAAAAAGGAGAGCAACGATTGGCGTTCAGCTGGTGACTATCGGCGATTGAGTGCGAAAATCATTCCCGACCGTGACCCATTGCCTCACATCCACGATTTGACAGCTAATTTGAAAGGTACAATTGTCTTCTCGAAAATCGACTTGGTTAAAACGTATAATCAAATCCATATGCCTACTGACGATATTCCGAAAACCGCCGTCATAACTCCTTTCGGACTCTACGAATTTTTGCGAATGCATTTCTGTCTAAGAAACGCTGCACAAGCCTTACAAAGGATCATAGACGACGTCTTTCGAAGTCTCAACTTCATACATGCGCATGCTGACGACTGTCTAATGCCATGTCCGGACAGAGAATCGCATCTCCAGCATCTGGATCTCGTTTTCGACCGACTACAAAAACATGGAATTACTGTAAACATTCAGAAATGCCAAATCGGAACTGACTCATTAGACTTACTAGGACACGTTATAGGTGTTCAAGGCATTCGACCCCTTAGAACCAAAGTGGCGGCCATTCTGGATTACCCAGAACCGACCACTGTCAAGCAATTACACACGTTTAAGGGCCTGGTAAGTTTCTATAGACGTTTCATATCGGGATGCGCATTACTTATGAAGCCTCTTACCGATCAACTTCGTGGAAATGCGAAATCCAGCACCGCAGTAGACGCATCCGACTCAGCTATAGGAGGAGTCTCACAACAATGGGTTGACAACTCCTGGCAAACTTTGGCATTTTTCTCTAGACGGTTGCTAGACACGGAATCGAGGTACAGCACATTCGATAGGGAACTCCTAGCTATATATTGTGCTGTACGGCATTTTCAACACCAGGTCGAAGGCCGTGAATTCACCCTTTTTACTGACCATGAACCTCTTGCTTTCTCCTTAAGCTCTTCTTCAGACAAATACTCACCTCGTGAGTCTCGACAACTGCATTACATTTCGCAGTTTACTTCAGACATCCAACATATTTCTGGAGCAAACAATGCAGTCAAAGACGCCTTGTCTCGTGTAACTTCCTTGAACAGCTTCCAAGGAATCGACCTTCTCAAACTCACCCAGCTTAAAAAAAGACACTGATCTTCAGCACGAGTTATCGTCTACAGCACTCAAGCTATGCATCAGACAGATGGAAACAAATAAGGAAACCTTACCTTGTGACACATTTACGGGTAGGGATCGTCCAACCGTGCCAAAACGTTATCGACGCAACGTCTTCAGTACGTTGCACAAACTTTCTCATCCACGTGTTCGTGCAACCATCAAGCTCATAGCAGAACGATTTCGCTGGCCTGGTATGAATAAAGATGTGAGGCAGTGGGCACGCTCCTGTGTAAGCTGCCAAAAATCTAAGGTTATCAGACACAATAAATGTCCCTTAGGCTCATTTAAAACTCCTGATGCTCGTTTCAACCATGTTCATCTGGATTTGGTAGGACCTTTACCACACCCAAATGGATACTCTTATCTCTTAACCTGCGTAGACCGTAGTGCAGTGAAAGCTGACATTGGATACACTGCGGCTCAACTCGTTTATGGAACGATACTTCGACTTCCAGGAGAATTCGTGGATCCTTCATCCTCTTCAATGAGCATGGATCTAACCTCCTACACAAACAGGCTTACAAACGCAATGAGTCCAGCTGAACCTGTTTCCACTCGACCGCAATCAACGGATGTTTTCGTTCAACCTGACCTACGATATAGTACACACGTTTTCGTTCGTCGAGACTCGCATCGACGACCTTTCGAATCAGCGTACGAAGGACCTTTCAAAGTTCTTCAACGTGAATCTAAGTACTATATAGTCGATAAGAACGGAACAAACGATAGCATCAGCATCGATCGCTTAAAAGCAGCGTATTTAAAAGGAAATCTTATTCACGTCGATTTTCCTTAGGTACAATCGAACGACACGACTCCGACACCTATAATACCTCATCCGACAACCAACACGCACGATGATACTTCGACAGTATCTGAAAATAAACTTAAAACGACGCGTTCTGGAAGAAGAGTAAGATTTCCAGAACACTTAAAGGACTATTACAAGTAAGACACCAGTTAACATTTTACTTCATATCGATTTTCCGTGGCATTATATATAATATAATAATTCTTTTTAATATGCCTATATTTATATGTATTTATTATGTCACCAATATGCATATTAAAATTTTTTTATGAAAAACGAAAACGAAAAAGGCACTTTGTAAAAATCGCTTTTACGTTATTTACACTTTTTCGCCCATTTTGTGTCTTAAAGCGCGTACGGGTTTATTTCGAAATGCACTTACATATTCTTTTTTTTCCAGGACGATAAAAAGAACGATAAGGTTTACGAGGAACCAAAATTGTCATTGTACATCAATTTTTTACTATATTGCATTTCACGATTCGTTATGCTAAAGGAAGACGACCAGACGCTGTTAAACTTGGCAAGCTATCAGAAGAGTGTTTACCAAAGACGAAACTCGTTGGGTTTAAACTTCTGGCTGGCCACGTCTTAGTTTCATCAATACCCCACTAGGGGGGAGCGGTCTGTAGAGGTGAATAAATCCCCAACATAAGTAGCTCTGTAAGTTTTCGACACTAGATCCTGACCACATGTTTTAATGGACTCACCTAGCTGAAGGCGCTCGGTCATGCATCCGCACCAGATCACGAGTGGGAACGCTGTGCTCAACAAACCTATGCAATCGCTAGCCAGATTAGATCAGACGATTCTCGATATACTGATAGCCTATCAAATATATCTTCGAACCTCCTCGTTTCTGCCTTTTGATTTCTCCTGGTAGGTACGATTCATATTAGAAGATGTTACTGGTTAAAGCGTTGTCAAACTCCGAACACCTGTGCCATCTACAACATAGTCATGTTTGATGAAGCTGATAAA